CAAGCTAGCTCCTAGCTGCCCCACCAGCACATTAGGGCAGGAGGCTGGGACCTTCCCCACCCCTGCAGTCTCTTCCAAGCTCTATGCCTCAATCACCCAATTGGGGCATGGGGCTGGGACCTGTACCTGACCAAGTCAGTTCCCAGCCCCCACCCACATGCTGGAAAGGGGTTGAGGAGCTTGTTCTCTGCTCAGCTTCATGGCTGGGCAGCTCAGCGGCGAGAGGGGGTCTCCCAGTAGCAGCCCCATGGTTGCAGACCCACTGCTCATCTCTCAGCAGTGGGTCTGCAACCATGGGGCTGCTATTGGGAGACCTTTATCTTTCATCACTGTGTCTGTGACTGTGGGGCTGCTGCTGGGAGACACGGGTCTCCAAGAAGCGGCCCCGTGGTCCTGGAACCACTGTTGGGAGATAAGGGTCTCCCAGACCCCCCCACTCCTCAATCGCAATGGCGGAGCTGGGGGATTGGTGGAGCTCCCTGCTGCCAGGGCAGGGACCCATAGTCCCTACCTGGGCTCCTGTGGCAGAGCCCAGCCTGGTGGACTGCTGACCAGGAGCAGATTTTGCTCCCGGTTAGGTGCCTACACAAGCACTATGGCACTGTTATTAATCTTTATTAAATTTACTGCTTGCATTTGCAGGTAGCAAATTTACTTGGGATTAGGGAGGTTTACTGCATATTAAGCATGTGCACATATAGATGCACGTGTTTACTTCACAGTAAACTATGCTAATGCGAAGGTAAGCATCTCATGTAGACATGCCCAGTGACTCTAAGTTGTAAGACAGCTTATTTCTGTAAAATTGATAAGTATTACATTGTAAAAGTATATCTAGATATATATTTGTGAAATGCATTATCTGCATTATATTATCCTGTATTGTTACTGATATTCATATTTAGAGATTTTTAATAAAGTTTGCTGCACACCAACTCTGCTGGAGGATTTATTATTTTGCTGAGAATGGGGGCTGTCAAAAGTAACCCTCAGATTCCCTTGTGGGAGGTGGTTAACATATCTAGGGGAATCCCGTGTCCTGAGTAGGGGGCCTAAGTTCCCTATACTAATGCATAGGAGGAATTAAGTGCCAAAAAGTAGGATCCAGAAGATCAGCATGCAGGATACCTCAGTCAGGAGTAGGATGCTGACCTCTGGAAGATAGGGAGGTGCTCATCTCCAAATGGGAGCCACAACCAAAACTCTCACCTGAAAGTAGGCAACCCTGCTTTTGGAGGCCTGTAGGCCTTTGTTTTTGGAGGTGTGAGACCAGTGTTCTAGTTATACATCTACAATTTATGTGCAATATTAAGAAAAGAGCCAAATTTTAGACTCATTATAATCACTCCAACTCACTCCAATCACTGCAACTCCAAAAAGAAAAAAAGCATTTCAAATCTACCTGAATGAGATTGTTTTCTGAAAATTATAAATAAATGAAATTCATTTTGAGATTAAAATGCTTTAAAAGTGGCCTCTGTGACAGACATGGAGCTGATATGCAACAGTGTTATGATTAGTTATATGTCACAATTTTCTGAATGCTGTATGTAACTGAATTCTTGAGAAGTTAATGTGTACTGGATTGTTAGAGCTTCCTACATGACTCTATTGACATAACTGATACTGGAGGAAAGGTTTATTATAGCACATTGGAGCTGCCTCGCTGCTTGTGTATAGACAAATGCACAGAGTCAATGTGTACATGCCTAAGACAATGGCCTCCTGAATAAGAACACCAAATCACGCACGTAAAAAAAAAATGGGGCTGATATGTTGTGAATTCAGCAACAACATTCTGGACACTCCTGTGTTGAACTAACATTTATTATTATAAGTCCCTGAAATCGTATCCAGAGTGGATCTTAATAGTTGCCCTAGTATGTATGCCAAACGTATACTTTCTCTGTCCCTGACCTTGACCCAGCCCAGTCCTGGTGAGTGAGAGGAACCAAGGATATGTCCCCTGGTCCTTCGAGACAGGGAAAATGAAGTCCCCAGTGCTGCAAAACTGCCGCAGAACAAAACTGAACCTTGCAGTGCTGAAAGTGAGGGCTTTGGCCTTGAGGGATAGTGCAAGGAAAATACAAGAACACACAACAGGGGCAAACTGCAAGCTGCAATCTTCAAGAAGCTGCAAACCTTGTTTTGCTGAAGTTAGGAGTTAACAGATCAAAAATGCTATAATCTATTAAAAAGAAGCTTAAGTCCAAAGAAGATCAATGATTTAATAGGTACTGTCTAAGGAAGCAAGCCGACAGTGCGAAGCTCTGAGGAAGAAACTATAAAGAAGGGGTCCACTAAGGCCCCTCTGAGGAAGATGTTTAGATGCATAGTGAGCTAGACGTGCACATCATTTGTTTTACTGTTTTTAAGATCCATTTCCCTTTTAACAACTTTGTTTTAATACTTGTAACAAACAACAATTTGCTGTAAGTGAGGGCTGTGCAAAGCTTCATTCCCTGATTCGATTTGGCAGATATTTGGCTCGATTCGGTGGCCGAATTTCTGAATCCGAATCAAATCAGGAGACCCTTTAATCTCTCCAAATCAAATCAGAACACCCTGAATCAATGTGGAGAGATTTGGAAAGATTTGGAGATTCAGACATAGACGCAGCTTTAAATGTTTTTTCTACATACCTCAAGGTAGCAGGTGGCTCATGAATGCTGAGGTGCTGGGGCACATAGAGCGTCCCACAGGAGCATGTGGGGGGCCCCCAGCACGCTTGGCAGGAGACCTGGAAGTGGACCAGAAGCAATTCCGGTCCACTTCCAGGTCCTCCAGGGAGCGTATGGGGGGTCCCCTGCACCCCACCCCCCCCGGCTCAGCGACTGGTGCCCCTGGGTCTGGAGGGGCACCTGAGGTCCCCCTGTGGCCAATCGCTGAGCCAGGGGAGTGTGTGTGTGTGTGGTGTGGGTGTGTGTGTGTTTGGGGGGGGGGGGGGGCCTAGCGTGCTCCCTGGCGGACCTGGAAGTACTTCTGGTCCGCTTCTGGGTTTGCCGCTGAGCATGTGGAGGGCCCTCCCCGCATTCCTATAGGATGCTCCACCTGCCCCAGCATCACAGCATTCACAAGCCACACCTGGTACCTAGAGGTATGGAGAAAAAAACATTTAAAGCTGTGTCTATGGCCGAATCGCTGTTTCTCTGAATCAGCATCAAATCTTCAGATCTGGATTTGGCCAAATCAAATCAGGGACAGTGATCCAAATCAACGAATCGTATCACTGTCCCCGATTCAGGCCAAATCCAGATCTGAATCAAATATGGTTCGTTTTACACACCCTTACTGTAAGTAGGCTATCTGGGCATTAGATACCAGTGCCATTGTCCTGAATAGAACAGAGTAGCTAGGTGCTGGTCTGAACCCGCTGAAGTAATTCATGGTTGGGGGCTACAACTCAGGGGCCTTCTTACATATCAGATTTACCCAAAGCACCATGTCTTCTTATGTGATTGTGCTCCAAGAGACATATGATGGTTTGGAGCCAGAGACCTAGGTGGGATAATAAATCAGACAGCCCAAGAGGGTCAAAAGTTCATCTGCTCCAGTAACTGTGATTTCTTAAATTTTTTTAAATGCCCAGTTTCTCATTATGTCCCTCTGTTTACTGACTAAAGTTACATGATGCCACAACATTTCAAACAAAGATGGGAGTTAGGCACTGGCTCTCACAAAAGGTAGTTTTTTTGAGACTAGAAATAATAAAATGTTTTAAAAATTGGCAACACTTGAAAACAACATAAATAATTTTTATCACTGAAGCCAACAGAAAAATATCCAAGGATATTCTCAGTGCCAATGAGCTACTCTTCAAAAGTAAAAGGAAGCTCCAAGTCTCTTGATGAACACCTCATGCTGGTGTGTCCCCTTCTAAAATACACTACAAAGGAACAGGATATGTGGACAGATTTACTTTGCAGATTGGGTCATGGTAAAGTTCCTACTCAGAAAGCTTTCAGCACAGCTGGGAACAGATCCCTGGCCCAGGAGAGTGTACACCAATGTTTTACCTGTTAAAGCATACTTTGCTCCTCGGGTGAAATCTTGGCCGCACTGAATTCAGTGGTAAAACTTCACTTGATTTGCTTTTATTTGTAGGTAGCATTACAGCCTTCCAGCTTCCTTAACTTTTCTTTTCTGGCTAGGAGGCATTGCAACTCATTCTGCTGTCTTATTCCCCAATAGTTTTTTCTTCATTCTAGATAATTCTAGTGTATTTAATTAAGAGATTTGATAAAGAATGAAAGGGAACACACACACAAAATATATTCAGCATCATTTCTGGCTCCCAAACAGTAGCCATAATTTTCTAACCCATGCTGCAACAGAACATTTTAAAATAGCCAGAACAATAAAACCATGTTTCAATAAATTATTTTAATGATGGAGCGTCTTGTAAATATTGGTTTCATGTGGGTGAGCTAAATAAGCCAGCTTTACCATTGTAGCATGATTACACCAATTTCATGCAATTTATTACCAAAGTTTTCATCATGATATCCTTTAAAACGTATTTATAAAGACATTTTAAAAACAGATTTACTGTTTTAAAATATACAAAGGGAGTTGACACTGTTTGGAACGTGCACACCAGATCTCCAAACAGAAGTTTCTCCAGAGAAGGACATTTTAAGGCACATCATTATTTTACCATCTCTGTTACATAAAATTCTGATTAGATCATACATTTATAAAACAGCATTTCAGATAATTATCTTCACAGCTCACAGAGACATAATTCATCTTAATTCGGACTACACACTTTCATTTTTTTAACATTAGTAGGTTAATAGTGCAGCACAAAATAAACATTGTAAAAAATCCTATCTTTGGAGCAAATTTTATAGAAAAGACATTACATATTTATGTATTTCATCTTTGTGCAATAAAGTAGGCCATTATTACCTATTTAATAAATAGAGACTGTGGAATTTCCCACAAACTATAAAACATCGGCAAGAGAACACATTAATAAAAAAAACTAGAGCCAGATTCTCAGCCTGTGTAGACCAGCTATGGCTATATTGGCCTCAATAGAGCTCTGCTGATCTACCAACTGGAAACTTTAACCCTGCACTCCAGTTCTTCACAGCTTTTCACCTTGTCTGACTTGGCAACATTTAATCTTCAATTTGTTCAGGTGAAACAAACTGTGCAAGGTGCCATAGCCCATCAGGCCTATTATGCTTTAAACATTTCCTGTAAAGTTGCATTTTTACATGATGCGATACCAAAACACAAATTACTAAAACACACAAGGGCTGAGCCTCAGCTGGCATAAATCCATGTGGCTGCACTGAAGTAAAGGAATGACATTGATTTACATCTGCTGAAGAACTGGCTCAGTATCTACACTACAAGGATATATATTGCACCTCAACAGTTTGTGGGAAAGATAAGGAGCTAAAGTGAGTTATACTATAACAATTTTGGGCCCAATTCTCCTTGCAGTGATCTTAAGGTATACCAAGAGTAATGCTTTTGGAGAAAGTGGAGCTACACTAAAATAATGTCAAGTCTGCATTTAAACATTTTCCCAACCCAGCTTTGTTGACCAGGGGGGTGAGAAATATCACACCCTTAAGCAAGCAAAAGACCTATTGGAAAGAAGTTATAACACAAAAAATCTTCTGTCGCTTCAGCTTGTTTTGTTCTTGGAGCTGTTATAAGCTACATTAAGAAAAAGATTCTCCACATGGAGGGCTGGGAGAGGTAAGAGGCTGGAAGCTACGGGTGGAAGAGGCTGGTAGAAACTCCACCTGTCCAACTCCACTGAACAAATCTTTCTGGCATGAACAAGTAAAAGAAGAATTAGATCCTGTGTCTACAAGTCTCTCTCTGTTACTTCTATTAAGAAAATGCCTTCCTATTCATTTTTACATAGCAGCAAATTAACATGATCCATAGCACTCTATGTTTGTAGACTCCTATTTTTTCAGCTATTGTTATATTTCTACAGATAGTTTTATTGCCTCACCCTTCTTGTTTGCTACAGCAACACATGAGAACAGGATGCAATGAAGAGGGATTTTATAACAGGCTTCAAATACTTTAAGGGTGATTATAGAGAAGATGGAGATGGGCTTTTTCTGCAGCCATAGGGTACATCCCAATAAGCACACAAGTGCTGGCACCAGACTTCCCCTACCCCATGCAGGTCTATTTGCTGTATTCTGGAGCATGAGTGCAGGGGCTCACCTGCGAAGAAATAGTGGCACAAATATGTGCCACTGCTATTTGTTGTATCAGAAACGTGCATCCCTGCATGTGTACATTTGTCAGGATGCGCCCATAGGGAACAGGACTAGGAGCAATGGACTCAAGCTACAGCAGGGGAAATTCAGGTTGGATAGGAGGAACTTTCATTCTATGAGGGTGGTCAAGCATTGGAATAGGCTACCTAGAGAAGTTGTGAAACCTCCATTGCTGGAAATTTTCAATAGCAGGTTGGACAGACACTTGACTAAAGGGGTTTAGTCAGGGATAATCCTGTCCTGGGCAAGGGGCTGGACTAAATGACCTGGGGAGGTCCCTTCCAGCCCTACATTCCCATGATCCTATGATCATGGACAGAAAGCAACATGTTCAAATATATGAGCATGCTCAACTTGCACATGCATAAACACTAATATGCAAATCAGGGCTTGCTGATGTGCACTGCAGGTCACGTGGACAAAAATCATACACAAAAGCTTCCGTAAGCAAACTTTGGAAAATGCAGTTCGCAGTGCAAGCCCCTATGAAGTGGTGACATCTGAAGTGCTGTTCCTTTCTACAATGACATAATAAGGAAATCTTCACAACAGTGCAAGGAATTGGATGTTTGTGATAGGAAACCTGCATCTTAAAATAGCATCTAACCCATTCAGACTTGGTGCTCACGTTTAGGAGTTATGCTGTCATAATACAGAAGGGACTATGAAAATTACCCTCAAAAAGGTTGGCCAATTCACCAGAACATCTTGACTGCGTTAAGCTACTCTGTGGATGCAAACAGTCATTGGGTTGCTTGACTGGGGTGTTGGCTGCTTTGCCTCAGCAAAGCAAAGCAAAACAGCCAGGGCATATTTCTGAATGTGCCCCAAAACATTCTGAATAAAGACAAGGTTTGATTCTCCAGTGTCTTGCACCTTGTGTAGTCCCTCAAACCCATGCACAGCAGGTATACAATGCTATATAATCTGGATTTTCCATGGGTGGGGGCACTTCTCACCCACTCATCATGGGTGTAATTGACTAGAATAGATTCAAGGCATTTGGGGTGTCTATATACATGCTCTGGTGTGGGGGTGGGCACTTTAATTACAGCAGCTCTAAGAGCCGCTCTAATTACAGTGCCTGTAGTGTCATGCGTATTCAGCGTCCCGCATTTCAAAATGGCAGTGGGAGCACTTTAATTAAAGCTTGTTCAATGAGCTTTAGTTAAAGTGCCCCCAGTCATTTTGAAATATGGGGATGCTGAATACACATGACACGGAGGCTGCTGGAGCACGCTAATTAGTATGCTCCAGCAGACTTGATTGACTGAGTCTGCTCTGACTCATGCTTATTAGCACACATTGGAGCAGAGCTCCGTCACATGTATAGATGTCTTAGGACATCTAGCCTTCAGTCTTCTTCTTGTACTGTCAGTCAGAGGTGTAGCTGTCTAATCACAGTGATGAGGAGTATTTCCAACATCGCTCTAACTAGAATGATACCTAGCACTGCTATGTTACAAATATGTTTTTCTTCTTCATCAAAATAATAATAAAAAAATATTCTTATTGACTCAGATCAAAAATAGTTACATGTACATAATCAAATTACAAAACCAACTTCTATACACATAGGGTTCTTAAGGACTTTAACCAAGCAGCATAGTATTTCCCACTGAAAGTGACAATAGGATGGCAAAAGCCAGCAAGGGGGTCAGTGTTGAGCCGCAGAGGCTTTGTCTACGTCACAAAGTTCTGTTGGCAGAGGTATGTCAGCTGGGGTGACAAAATCACACTACATAACCAGCACGGTTCTGCTGGGAAAATACTTCAGTACAGCCACAGCTCTGCTGGTAGAAGATAGCTTCTGCCATCACAGCTTCTGTTGGTTGATGTCTATGCCCATACCAGGGGGCCCGGCTGCCATTGTGAGGCCACCACAGCTGAAGTGGCAGCAGCTCCATAGTGCAGATGCAGCAACAGGCTTTAAAGGCACTGGCATGAATCAGTGCCTAGAATAACTAGAAGCAGAGACCTGTTTGATGGCTGGTATGAAATGAGTTCATAATTTGAATCTGGTCCCCAGACTGTAGCTTGTTTATCTATCCAAGCTTCTACAGCATCCACCATCACCATGGAATCCAAGCACCTGCAGTAGCTAAACCTGCCTTCTTAGCAGAGGCTGAAGATGGAAAAGAGTAGAGGGGCAGCAGTTTCACAGGTGGCCACAGACTCTAGGGCCAGAGTCTATTCCACTTATTAGGTGCTCGAGTGGACTTAGGTGCCCAAGTGCAACTCTATTCCACCTTGCTCAAGTTCCAGATAAAGTATGGGTGGGTTCTTCTCCTCACTGCTTTTTGGGACTCACTCTTCAGGCCAAGATAACAGCAAATGTTACAAAACTAGATGCATGCATGGACTTTCAGGGGCTCAGGAAGGTAGAACAGAATCACACTTAGGTGCCTAAGTCAATGTGTGCCAAGTATATGGAGTAGAAACTAGTGTTAGATTCCTCCATTTTCAGGTTTCCACTGATCCTAAGACCTACAATCTGAAGAAGCTTACACACATGCGGCATCAGTTGAGGTTTTGCCTGCAATAGGAAGCACTCAGAACATTTCCACTTGTACTTCTATTCTTATACAAGGCTAATCCAGCGACCTTTCCCACTGGCTTGGATGTGGGTTAGAGCAAGTTTGTAGGGAGCAGAGATCAGGTGTAACTTTTTCATCATTTAGCATAAAAACAGAAAATAACTCAAATTCCAAACAGGTACAAATATATACATACAGTACAGCCCAAACTATGAGGGTACAGTACTTTGAAATAACATCCTGAGTCATCATGGCACTTAAACAATGTGGCAAAGAATGCAGAAGATGAGACTACTGGGAAAAATCACTGTGTTAAGCAAATATTGGAGAAAGGGGGAGGTATAAATAACTGAGATGATCTAATAAAGCTTTGGAAGACACACAAGAGCAGCCAAATACATCTCCTGTGTTTTGTACTTCCATGTGAGGGAGGCCATTTGGAAGAGAGCAACTTAATTAAAAACATAAAATGAGATGTTCAGGACCACATAAAATTAAAATTCTACATTAGCTCTGTACATTTGGTAATTCCCAGCACCACTTAACAGAGCAAACAACAGCAAAATCCTGCCCCCCGCCCCAGAAGTCAATTATAAAATGGTTGTTACTTTCAATAGGTCCGGGAGCTCATCTTAAGAGTTTGCAACAGAGACTCAAAATCCCATAATTAAATAAGCATTAGACAGTGTTACAAGAAATGCAACAGTAGGAAAATATTTCTTCTTCAGCTTTCACATTTTATAAAAAGGCACTAATCCCTTTTAACCCAAACAGACTCAGCTAGCAAGACACTACCCACTGGCTTCTTGTCTAGAAATTGCATGCAGCATGAATATGGAGCTCTATTATTAAGGTAACAGACACAGCTTATTGCTTCCATGGTGTTATATAGAAACACATGGCATGCTAAAAGGAATAGCGATCAGCTTCTGTTTTGAAAAGCTCCTTGTCTTAGCCTTTAGAAAATAGGTTTATCTTTGTAACAGTCCAGATGAAAAAAAAATATCAAGGAAGCATACTTTCCCTTACTGAAACATCCCCATAGATCCCTGTAAAATAAACGAGGAATTACAAGTATGCACATAGGGCCAAAACAGACTCCAGGTTTCCAATGGGTCTTTTCCTTTTTCTTTCAAGAAACAGTTCCAGAAAGGGTCTCAATGTTTTCATACGTTTTTCTTTTCCCTTGTTCCACCAATCTTTTGTCCCAACCTATTCTTTCTCCCCTTTCTTGCCCTAAGTAAATCATGGCTCACAGCTGCGTTTCCTCTTGTTCCAAAGAATGTGGAGGAATATGACAAGATGGTGGGAGAGATGCTAACTTCTGAAGTTTGGGATGTTGCAAAAGTTTTGGCCTGTGGAAGGAACGCCGACTTTGGACACGCCTGGCGGCAGCAGACCTATAATTACCTGGAACACTAAGCAGTGATTTCATCTCTTGGGTGTCTTTGGAATTAAAGTCCTCTAGCCCCTCTTGCATAGCTATCGAGTAGTCCTGCTGTGAATTCACTGGCTCATAATTAGTTTCTGAACAATATCCTGAATTTGTTGGTTGATTGTCATTTCTATCTGAGTCTGCTTTCCAGTAGAGTTCAGTTATGTTTGAGTCATGAGAATTTATATAATCTGAGGCAGTAGAAAGAGATATACCTCCTCTGTTGTCCAGTGAAGAATATCTTTCTGTCCAAGGCCCTTGAAGACAAGATGGAATGAAGTGGAGGGGTTTCTCAGCAATAGGGGCATTTTGGTTTGCTTGGTCAGATTTATACGGAGACAGCTTCTCCTCTGGAGATGAGTATCCTGTCAGGTCAGCATCATGAGCCGTGTTACCTATATTGATAAAATTAAATACAGAAATGTGTAAGCAGAGACTTCTTTTATGAGATTCATTTTCATTCTAAATAGTGATTTCAAATGGATCCCTCAATGGCTGCTATTTTGCAGAAGGGCCTTAAACAGAATCTGTTCCCTTAGTCAGCAAGGCTCACTTCCACTTGCAAAACTGAAGCTAATCAAATTTCCCTGGCTGGAAACCAGGGCAATATTTAGCCCTGTTTGTTAAGTATATCAGCCTATTCAGATCCTAAGGTAAGGGTGCCATCATGTGGCTGTTTAAATGTATTTATCAGCAATTTTCCTTTGGGCCACTTAGTTGTAAGGCTCATCTGAGGAATTCTAACCAGTGAATTAATAAGCAAATCAGGAATTGGTCCATTGTGCTATTATAAATGATGCTCTACGGGGATAGGTCACGAGGGAATTTGCTTGGCTAGAGCCATAAATCAGTTTAATATTTCAGTGAGAAGACGCTCAGAAAGCCAGGCCCTGCATACATAATTTGCAAATACAATTTCTTTCAAAGACACTAGTTGGCCATTTACAGGCTTTCAAAGCCTTTTAACTAGATTCTAGTGCCATTTTACTTCAGGCCGGTTCATTGCATAAGATGCGTTTAAAGAGGACATTTTGACATACAGGGCATAAAGAGCACGAACAACGCTCTTTATAAGAATGCAAAGTAGAGCTTACTCTTTCATAACCATTTTTTAAAAAATCAAGTGATAATCTATTTTCATTTGGCGAGCTAACTCCCAAGAGCCACCTTTACCTCTAGTCAGTATAGTCATTCTAAAGCTACCAAACATTTTATCTGCACAAGATGATATCAAGAGACAAGTCTGCTGTTTTAAATAGTAAAATCCATGCCAATCAGGGTGATAGAACAGAAAAAAGGATAAAAGTTAGTAAGGACAAGGCTCAGCAAGCAATAAGCGATAGAAGTGAATACTGTACAGTAGAGATAAAGGTTTCCAAGAGAAAAAACCCCCACTTCAGAATCTTTCGAAAGAAAAAATGATGATATCTATTATTGGAGGGAGATATCTTAACACTTGAATGCCATTTCTTATGTGGCAGCTTTAATTTTAATTATTCCATTAAGTTGGCATTTATTTCAAGCCACTATTTCTAAAATAATGTAAAAAGATTGATAGTCAGTTAAAGCAACCCCAGAGCATCCATTCTTGAAAATGACACATCACAACCCACTACCTAGAACTAATCAGGTATATCACTGCTCCCCACAGGACAGAAGCCATGGCTGTAAGGAAGATTATTTAAATCTTATTTTAGATGTCTGTGAAACTCTTCTTGAATCAGGATTGCATAAGTGCTCAATAAATAGAGAACAGAATGAGGTTCTCATCTTTTAAATGGGAAGTTAACTCAGTAATTGATTTGATAGTGAATAAACCATGCCTTTGAACTTTGCATGCGCCTTAAATACTGTCCTGGACATCAAGAACCATTTGGTTGTATTTTTTGCATCATCTCTATATTGCTCTGGAGTTTACTTTATTATTAATACTGAATCCTACTATGAACCACCCTCCATATAGCAATGACTGTACCTGTGACAGAGACCTATTGAACAATGGGCTGATTTTACAATTTGGAAGAATATCAGTGAGGACTAATGAGAGCAAAATCTTCATTTCATGTGAGAATGAATTTAGGTTTAAGCTACCCACCTTCAAAGGCAACAAAGTACTGTATCAATAACTTGCATCAATATATTACTCAAGACTTAAAAATAAAGACTGCAATAAATAGAATGAAAAGGGCAAAATGAATGTCAGTGCTCTAACAAAAATATGAGGTCTTGGTCTTGATGGCCTAGTTTGTTTGTCAGTCACCTCTCTCTGTGTCAGGTAAAATGTAATGTTTATTGCAAGCTGTACCTGATTTTTAAACTTTTTGTTAAGTATTCATGTGCTTATTAGTATTAATTAGTCCTTCTACTAAACACATGCTTAGAAGCCCCAATCTCATTGGGCTATGGGCTGTACAAAAATGTAACAAAGAAAATCCTTGCCCACAGTTACCGTGGATAATAATTATCACTTCTGGAGATACTGATTCAAATGTAAATTCCTTCAAAGTTATTTAAGTGAGATATTCAGCCTCCTAGTTGAGAGAAGAACTAGAATCATTACTGAAAGTGACAGATGAGCATACTGCCAAGCAAAACCAGAAAAAAACAGTAGTAGAAGTATCCTATCAGCGTTGGAAAGGGTTTTGTTTTGAAAATAGCAAAAAAGATGCTGAAACCAAAATGAAGGCCTAACTCCTTGGCTGGTGTATCATAGTCTTGTCAGGGTTTTACCAGCTGAGGATCTGGCGCTAATTATTTAAATATTGGCCTCTTTCTTTAAAAGCACTGGATTTAAATAGAAGAGCAGCAGAATGTTTAACTTCAGAAAAATCAAGGAAGAGAAGGACAAGGGAATGGCTCATCAGGTGGCCAGAGAAGAGCAGAGAGATTGATTGAAAATAAAAAGGAAGCTGTATTTTAAAGTATTACATATGTGTTGATTCTGGGAGAAAAGATCTGGGTCGTTCCTCTGGGCCATCTGCTAGCAAAAAGGAATCTACTGATTTATTGCTGAGCCGAAACGGGGTGAGCCGTCTGAAGTTGTTTGGAGAGTACGGTATCTGCACTCGGGCCCTTTGTGACGGTACTACGGAATCTTCGTTAGATAACCATGGTGGGAACTTCATGTAGATACTTTGATCATCATCAGCTGAAAATACTGGGTTATCAATTCCTACAAAAGTTTATGAGTGACAAATTCAGTTGGTAAAGAAAATAAATACATTTCTTGGCAGTAAATGGAATGTTTGGCATTGGACCGCGGCCATATTGAAACAAAACATAGGCAAATAGAGCATTTCTGGCATGTACCCTACTTGTAAGCCTGGTTCGCAACAGTCGCTTTTTTTAAAGCGACTCAGTGAATTTCCAAAAAAACACAAATCATTCTCAGTTAAGGTTGAACTTCTCCCCTAAAGCATGAAACAAAGACTGGAGTTATATCAAGCATGCCTTGAACCAAACATGCTCACTTTCAGTTTGGCGTTGACATGTAGAACATTGAAAATGAAACATACCATATTTACTCGATTCCAAGATGAGTCGTGTTCCCCCCCCAATTTAATATGAGGGGGAAAGCCCCTCATCCTGGAATCAACTACAAGGTGCTGGGGTAGCAGGCAGATGCTATGACTGCTGCCAGTCCCCCCACTGCCTCTGCACCCCTTGCCTCCCCATCTCTTCCTGCAGCCTCAGACCCCCCGCTCCATCTCCTTCCAGTGCTACTTCTGCCTCCTGCTCATCCCTGCTTACCTCTGCTTCAGCACAGACACGTTTCCATCCCAGCAGTGGTGCTGGCACTGCGCTGCTGCTACAGGACCAGATTGAAACCATGCTCCCTACTCCAGGTTGCAGCATGGATGGACCTTGCCAGCACAGACCAAAGGTAAACAGGAATGAGAGAACAGAGGTCTAGGCTGGGGGCAGAAGTGGTACGGGGGAGAAGAGAGAAGTGGGGGGAAGGGAGGTAGGGGCTTCAGTTTACAGGTGGAAGTAGTCATGGGGTCAGGCAACAGGAGGCAAGCTGTTGCTTTTCCCGCCACCTCCACATTCCCTTCCCCCTACCACCTGTCATCTCCACCGCCTGCCCTCTTACTGCCTCCCTCATTGCCTGTCTCCCCACCACCTGCAGTGGTGGTAGGGGGATGAATTTAAGATGATCCTCCAATAATAATTATATTCTATACATGGAAAGTTATAACAAATGTATAAGTTTTCCATGTATAGAATCTAATGGGGGGGTGGGTCTTAAATTCAGAGTCAGCTTGTATGCAAGTACATATGGTGTTTGAAAGATTGATACCTAGGACTAGATTCCTTTTGTAAAAGCCAGGGAAGTTTCACCAGTGCAAAGTGGGCATGAGTCAGCAGAGACCCAGCTGACGCAGTCAGAAGTGCTTTTTGAATGTATGAAAAATATATGATGGGGCCCTTATAAAACAATGATCAAATCTGTATGTGGTAGGCCATAAAAAATGCACACCTTGTCATCTCACTATCATGGCGATCAATAATGTCCACTTAGTGCACATCCAAGTTCAAAATTCAACATGATGGGATATGGTAAAAAGGTTTTTTCAGCATAAATCTGACTGCATCCAAATAAATGCTAATGCAAGCTTTAAACTACATTGCACCCTCATGTATTCTGCATGTGTCACACGGTATGCAAAACAGCCTGCTATGCTGTAAATCCAACTTTATACGATTTAGATGGAAAGAAAAAAGTCAGAATATATTTTAAGATATCAGAATGTATCTTAAGTTGTTTCTTCTATATATAAAAAATGTCATAGTTTAAAAATCTGCCTTCAAGCCTCCTAAGGCTAGAAGAAAGTGCTGAACAGCTGGGAATGACCCTTTTTCAACAATTAAATGACATTACTTCTAGCTCAGCAAGTGTCCGTAGATTGATATTGGAGCTTAAAACTGCATTCGCTCATCCTGGATCTCAGGCTCTTGTAAATTAAGGGGAGGAATTCCATGCAAGGGTGAAAGAGGGTGACCAACTGGAGTCAGACTGATGTAGATACTCTTAACAAGGAAGAAATCAATTCATATGACTAAATATTGCCTTGTCCTTGAAAATAAGGAGAACTCTAGAATCATTTTTTTCTATCTCTAGAAGCAGTTAAATGTTTTACATCTAGGTTATGAAGACATGGTTGCCAACTTTTTCAGCACCCTTAGTTAGAAAGTATAATCACCAAAAGGTTCAATAAATTGCACTGAGGGAAAAATATCTATATGTTGTTTATTTTCTTACCAGTAGTAGCATCTGCAAAATTCTGCTTGGTGACATCAGCTAAAAAGTCAGTCCCTTTGTCCACATGCAGAGATTCATAATCATTGTTTTCTTCTGGATCAGAAAATTCCAGATCTGTCAGAAAATAAAACAATGAGCTTGTGCCAGAGATTCAGAAAGGATTCCTGAAGTAGTTATTTAATGCCAGTAAAGTAAATGCAAAATTGTAAGTAATAGTTGAGGTGTTATAATTAGGTTTTGCGCTCATCAGTTATGTGCTAATCAGACTACTAATATTTGATCCTTGTTTTACTCCTGTATCATCTCATGCTGTGATTATGTTAGACTTCTCAAATAAAAGAGGATTCAGTTTCTAGATAGGTGGCAGCATGTTTTCTGCTTACCCAGGACTGAAACAAAACTCTAACCAGTGGTAGGGGGTATTATGCTAGGGAGGCAAAATGAAGACAAAAGGTGCTATAAAAGTATTTTTGTTTCCTTCTCAGCTAGCAAGTTTCCATTTGTAACAGAAATGCAGGCTGACAAAATGATTTAGAAAGCAAATATCAGTTTCAGACTGAAGGCAATCCGTTCTACCTCCCATACCCCAACCTATCTCTTTCTGACAGCTATGGGAAACATGTCTAGCCCCAGACACTCCCCACTTCCCAATGATAAGCAAGGTTCCTGGGTAACCTGGCAGGGGTGGGAAAGGGGAATAAATTTTGCCCTATGCCTTTTTTTTTTTTGTATTTTTACCATTTCAAGTGACATATATCTTATATAACCTGACCTGTCTGAAGGCATCATTGATTAAGACTGACACTAATAAATGCCACATCCTTGCACAAGACAGATGAAAACACAGATCGACTGCTATTTTGTTTTAAAACCCAAATCAAAAACTTCAGGGTTTCTTTTTTTCCCCTCCCTTTTCTTTAATAGGAGCAATTCCCAAGACAAAGGGTTTTCAAACTTTTTAAAGGAGTGTACCTGTTCTGGGTACACTTCTGGTGGAGTGGGGTGGTGGCAGCTAGATGCAGAACTGGCAGGGGTGGGTGGTGCTGGCTGGATATGGAGTGGGGAGGCTTGCACATGGCAGCAGTGGCATGGGGTGGTGGATGGCAGCCACCGCTGCTGCATGCAAGCTCCCCGCCATCATGTCCGGCTGGCTGGGCAGTGCCTGTGCGGCCCACAGAGGGGAGCCACTGCCTTTGCCCCACCCCCCGGCTCTGCTCCTGGGAGGCAGCTGCATGGGGTGGTGAGTGGCGGCGCTCCATCCCCGCCTGCCCGCGTGTACCCCTTAGCTCCTTTCCACGTCCTCCTGGGGGTATGCATACCCCTGGTTGACAACCCCTGGCCAAGACTAATAAACCTAAGGCTAGGTTTCCTCAGCCTTGAGTTACTCAGGTGGCACAAAAGGTAAGTCAGTGCAGAATGTGGTCACTGACTTTCCATCCATACAGATCCTATGCTGTCTTCCTGTTCCAGCCTTCCTTCTGCTTCCAGTTCCATTTAAAATAAATGTGGCAGCATTGGAGTGATGTTGCAGGAAATAAACGAGGAGCAAGGGCATTTTGATGATACCTTTTACAGGACCAACTGTGCAGTTGGGAAAGATGTTAGACAAGCTTTCAGGCACAAAGGGCAAAAAAGGTTCTGTGCGCCTGAAAGATTTTCTAACAACTGTCCCAACTATACAGTTGGCCCAATAAATGATATCACCAAAACACATTTAAAAAATAAATGGTAGTATGTCCAGGCCCTTAGGAATCAGACCAAAATCTATAGGGCATGCTGTTATGGGCATCTGCTGGTCATATAGATGAGAAGCTGAGATATTATCTGTACACTCCTCCACCCACACCTGTTTCAAGCCTGGAGAGAAAAATAAAACCTACCCCAGACTATAGGTAGTAGCATATCTATTATTATCAACATTATTCTCACATTTTTTACTGACACCTCTACCAGAAACATACACGCCTATTCAAATACAGAATTAACCAGGTTGCTTAGCACAGCATTTACCTTTTTCCTTCAATGTAAAATTTTGTACTGGGTTTTCTGTAGGTATTTTCCCATTTGGTATGACATTACCATTTCTCTGAAAAAAAAAACCCCAAACAATTTAAAGTTACTATGAGTTGCAATAGATACTTAATAACACCATGTAGGTACAGAAGCCCTCTGCTTATGAAATCACCAGTGATCACCATGATAATACTGAAATAAATAGTGATGAAGCAGTTGCAGATATTTTTAGATTTTATTTACCCTTGGTCCTGGCAGACATAGATCCCGGGAAGCCCTTTTCCCTCAATTTGCATAAATGGTGCCAAAGCAAGACCCTAAGTGTATGACCTTACCTTTCTTTGGCCACGGTCTCTCTTGTGGATTTTATTGTGCTTTTTGGAACGGTTTATTCCAAGTTTGGTACCCTTGAAAGAGTCCAAACGCTTCCTCATTGTTCTGTGGAATATCTCTTTGTCTTGTTTTTCATCTTCATTCTGAATGATTTCATGTCGACTGTACAGGTGTCTATGCTGTAACCAGGAAGATAAGACAATCTTTATTTATTTAGAAATGCAGATAGTTTGCTTTGGTACTGGTCACCAATCAGTTATGCACTGACAAAACCAACTGGTTACAAAACCCAATTAACTGCAAGCCTGAACACACTAAAAAGTCTCTGATTGTTAACAACTCCCCTGACTTCCTTCTATGCGAGATTGCAATAAGTCAGGAAGCAGAAGCTATGGTAATTTAAATAAACTGAAACTCATTCAAATTAAACACACTATGTACAATGGTTGGATTCACTTCAGACTTCCTCGTTTCACAAAATCTTTCACATTCATCCATCCAACCTTTTTGACACCCTTCCATTCCATGCAGACTGGTAACAACCAACTAACACAACATACTTTGGGCCACTCTTAAATTCTTCTGGAATCTGAGAGATGCCTATAAGAGAGATGACTGCTCACATGAGGAAAGATATCCAGGATCATCACCCACTGTCAGTTAGTGGTTAATCTTAAGGATTTGTCTTTTGGTTTGAGTTGCCCAACAATTTTCTGTGCTTAGTTTCTTATGGTTTTAGGATAAAAACATGTTCCTAACTAAAAGTGCTCTTACCTCTTGCCTGGGCTTGTACAGGTACTGCTGAAGTGTGTGGTGAGTGACAGTATCCTCTGTATCTCGGATGCTTTTCCTCCTCTGCTCTAAGGCTTGCATATCAAGGCAAACTGAACCAGCTTTTTCTCTCCTAAAGCAGATGATCCAAACAACATTTTTATAGATCAGTAATTAGGGAAGAAATGTATGCATTGCAATATATTTAAACAGTATGGAGGAAGCAAGAAAATGATAAGAACAAGTGAATGGCATCAGGGGGCCAAATACAGACCCTCTGAAATCAGCAGGTCAACTCAAGAAATAAAGTGAGGTTCTTTGGCACATCTACATGTGCATTAAGGTGTTTTTCCTGATCATGTTAAAGTTAGTACCTCCAATGTGAGGTACTAAACAAATTCACATTAGGCTGCCTTAATACAAAGTAACAATTGTGCATGGTTTTTAGGTGACGCTTAATGCTCAGTAGCCTATTTTACTGTGTTAGTATAATAGCATGGTTTTTTATGTGACACTTTAACGTGCAGTAAAATAAGCTACTGGGCATTAAAGCACATGTGTAGATGCGCTCAGTGAGAATAGGGATAAAGCAAGCTGGCCCAGTGTATGGCTGGTAATTCAGTGTTACTGGGCAAGCACATTAAAAAAACTACCCGTGGTGCTTTGTGATGAAAAGATTACACTAAAAAAATGGAATTTCCAAAACAATGAACTTTCTATAGAACCAGTCGAAATGAAAAAAAAATGAATCATTTTGAAACAACATTTTAATATTTTTTCATAGAGAAGGGGGGCTAGCAAGGACATCTGTAGGTCTAGTCCAACCCCCTGCTCAAGGTAGGACTATCCTTATCTAAACCATCCTGAACAAGTGTTTGTCTAACCTATTCTTAAAAATTTTGCAAACAACCATCTCACAAATCTACCAGACAAAATGCCCAAATCATCAAAAAAACAACCTCTAATTGAACACTGGTAAAGCAGAGGGCACGGTCAATGTCCTGCCACTGCAAAGACAGGAAGTAGTTGTTAAATACAGGCAGTCCTCGACTTGAAACGTTTCGAGTTACAACGCTTTGCACTTACAACATTTATAAATTGACACCCTGTTTCAACTTTACGCCAGTTTCGACTTTACAATGCTTGATCCAATGTTACGCCAAGCCAGCGAACAAGTTTGCTGCATCGCTCATCTCCCTGGAGAACATCTGTCTAAACTTCCTTGGACACTTTCTTTAAGAAAGCAGACAAGACTCCAGAAAAACCTGCAGCCAAGACTCCTGAGAAGACTCCAGCCAGAAACCCTTCAAAAAGTCCAACCAAGAGTGTTTCAAAAAGTCCAGCAAAGTCACCTCAAAGAAATCCTTCCAAATCAATATGATTGCTATTTATAATATAAATACACTAATGTAGCTATAGTACTCATCTATAATTGATCGAGTACAAAATTCTGGGGTATTTTTGGTGAAAACAGGGTATTGGGCCTTGGTTCAGGAACCAATCCCCCATTTATAACCTTGTTTCTTATGAGAAAATTGGTTCCGAGTTACGTTTCGACTTAAGACGTGGTTTTCAGGAACCAATTGTGTTGCAAGTCCAAGGACTGCCTGTATACTCAAGAGATCCAAGAAAGAGGACTATGCCCCTCACTACAGAGGAAGGCAAGAACCCTCACAGTCCATGCCAATCTGAACTCAAATGTGGCAGTTGGTTTGACCCTGAGTGGAGGAGGAAGACATTCTTCCCAGGAACCGCTGGGCGTTTATACATGTGCTCTGGGAGGCGAGAGCCACTCTAATTAAAGTGCCCAGAATGTCATGTGTATCAGTGTCCCTGCTCTGAAAAATGGCGGCAGGGGTGTTTTAACTAAAGCTCATTGAATGAGCTTTAGTTAAAGAACTCCTGCCACCATTTTTAAACATGAGGACACTGATGCACATGACTCTGGAGTCTGCTGGAGTGCAGTAATTATCACACTCCAGCAGACGCAACTAATCAAGTATGCACCGAAGCATTGTAATTACAGCATGTCGGAGCAGCCTCGATGCACGTGTATAGGCACCCTCTGGGTTTAAGTCCCAGCATGAGCATCAGCACACCCAAGTCAAAATCCCAGCCTTGGCTACAGCTAACACCCAACTCATCTATAACCAAAGCTTATTCAACTTCTTAAAAACCTCCAATGAAGAGGATTCTACAACTTTTGTAGGCAGTCTATTCCATTGCCTCACTGTTCTGAAAGGGAAGAAGTTTTTCCCTGATATCCTAGATACATCTACTTGGCTGTAATTTCAAGCCATTACTACATGTCCTATTCTCTGTAATAGGGAAAAAAGTTGTTCTCCCTCTCTTTTTCTTGGCAGCACTTCAATATTAAAAGTACATTTCTGCCAAAGTGATTGGTAGAAAAATATTTTAGCCATTTTGATGCATTCCTTTCAGACTCAATATCCCATGGAGATAAATGGTCAAATTCATACCTCCTGATGCTTTTGTTTCAGGCTGTCAACAGATGCCAACCTTGTTGTTTTAAAATGAATGCTGGAGCACAGTTCCCCAAGATAGGGTAAGAGAAGGTATTCTATGGCTAATTCCGTGGATGTGGAATTATAGTATTTACATAGCTCACTACAGAGGTGTACAAAATCATAGTGACAATAAGGCCTGTATTTACATGCACATACATTTTCTGACAAATTCAGCTTTAGGGCTAAAATTCATGACATCTGGGTTTTGACCAGGGAGATTTAAGTTGGGAAAGGTTGAGTAAAATCTAGTTAGCTGTTCCTGAATTCTCCAAACATTAAGAAAAATCCATGCTTCCCTTTTTAAAAAATGCACTGCCATTTATTTTTGCCAGGTAGATGGGATATTTTCTATTTCTATTTACATGTATAGCTTTTGACATACATAAAAATATATTCGACAAAGCATACAGGAATGAGATTAGAAAAGAACAGGAGATTCTTTTTTATTTTGCATCTTTTTGTATCATCTACACCAATGCAAAGTGAATACAAAATATAAGTCAGGAAGGAAGCATCTTACATCCATTGTGAATCTGGCTCCTTGAAATCACATTTTTCACACTTTGCAAATAAACTTTTTTATGCAATCATATGCGAGTGAAAAGTGAAACAAAAATAATCACTATCCAAGTGACTTACAATAAATAGGAGACAGAGGCTTCTACAGCAGATTGTCGTGGTGTGCTGAAGTCCACGTTGACTATGTTGTCAGTACTTGGGGATCGAATAAATGCCAAGGACCCTCTACGCTCTCCCTGGTCACAGAAAGAAATAAGGCACATTATTGCTCTACAATATTCAGCCAAAGGATATATTAAGTTAATACTTGTATATCAGAAAACTTGCCATTTTTTTTGAAACTTCCATGGATGCAAAGCACAAAAGAACAAGGAAGAATTTTTATTTATGTAATAGGATTTTTTTCCTCATGTGATTTATTTACCTAGGGTGAAATTCAACCTTGTGCAAAGGACCGAAAAACAGCATTGCCAATTGAGTCACAGTTGACAGCTGTACGTTTGAGGCATAAGTGATTTTACAAGAACTTGGCTCTTTGCAAATTGTTCACCTATGCTTAAAAAGCCATCAAAGAGAGTCATTGAATGTCTTCATTTCCATTTTTTCTCAAAAAGGAATTATTTTCAATAATGGACAAAAAGATTTTCATATAGCAGATCACAACACAGCAGAATATACATATCTGGGTTCTTCTATTGGTACTCATTACTGTTCTAACTGTAATGCCTTCCAAGAAATAACAATTATAGCTTTCTCTTCCTTCACAGCCAGGAGCCAAATGTTAATTCAGCACTGACTGTGTGTTTGCCAGCAGGAAAAATGCTTGAGTGGAAGATGCACTGAAAAAATGAGTTTTGCTTTTAGTTCTAAGAGTAATTACCCTCAAAGTTAATTCCTTTGAAAGTTTGGTCACCTGTATTTACAAACCTCACTCTTCTACTTGGCAATTTTGTTGTTCAGAAAGTTGGTGGCCATTGAGTGGAGTTATAGTTGTAGGGGATGAAAAACGTTCTCAGGTAGTGATGCCAATCCCATATATGTGGCTTTGGTTAGCATAGAGACCTTGGACTTGATTCTACAGCTAAACCTACAATCAATGAGGAATAGAAAAATATCCATCCCCAAAAAGACAGAACTATTTCATTCTTAAAATAAAGCATCATCATCTTGTGATTTCTTAAATTATACTCTGCAATGACCATATTAGATTTCCATAAGCACACAACATGGCAAACAAGAGAGTCTAAACACATCGGAGCAAATTTATACCCCATGTCTTTCAGACAGCAAATATTTATAAAGATAGGAAAAGGATTACAAAATAGAAAGCTGCAAAGTAAGATATAGCACCTGAAAGTGCTATTGAATCATTTTTGTTTACAGTGGCTATATATCACATCGTCAGTTTCCCTTTTCTTTTAAGACACGTGGGGCCAACTTTTATTATCTACTTCTTCAGAAAGAACCAGGTTTGTGAATCTGTATGTAGCCTGTCAGTAAGACTTAAGAGTTGAAGTCTCGCACTCCAACTAGCCAATGCTTAAGATGGTCACTAACAGGATATCAAACTACAGGGGGGGAGAAGACACAATATCTGTGCCATTATCTGTAGTGGAATGAGCAGAGGGACATTCAGGCATGCATGTAATGTAGTCATAGGACATATCTGTATAACACTAGGTTCAGAAAAAATGATTACAGTACTTGAGGATATCCCTGAAGCTTCTTCATTCAGAGCACAAACCAATGCAGTTGTGAAAGAGAGCAGACAATGTACACATAAAGCAACCATTACAAGCCAGCAGTATTTTGTGTGTATGGCTGTTTATCTGTGATAAGGAAATCTGGGTGACGCAGGTAAACATGTTAACAGTGTGTTCTTCACTGCTTTGTGTGAGGACACACACCAGTGCTATGCCACAGTGGTCACGAAGTACATCTGTCAGCTGCCCAGCCTACTTACAATCTTCACAGGGCAGCTTCTCCTTCATGGGCAGATTTTAGAGAGTGTTAGTGCAGACTCATGAGCCACAGAGTATGTTTCTCTTATGTCCATAACAAATGTTCACGACTCTGTGACAATACCTTTCAGATAATAGGGTCAGGTGTATAATCACATACCCTCATATACACTGTCTCTCATACATACTTGATTGAATTCGACTAATGCAGCACAAGGACAGGTAAACTCATGAATGTATTCTTGAAATGTCACATATGATTTATTTAACCCTCTGGCAGAATCCAAGACTCAAAACTGCCTTGACATTTTCTGATAACACATTGTTTTTACAGACTTACACTTAATCTTGGTCTCAAGGGAAATTAGTTTCCATTTTTTTTAAAATGCACTCATTCGGGAGTTACTTCCAATGAGAGATGGGAGTGGAAGTGTTCTTGAGAATTTTTTCCATAACACCTGATCTGATCCATCTCTTAGGCTCAGTGACAGCCAGGGTTAACCATAAAGAGTCTCTCTCTACACCACAATGGGGAAAAGATTCCTCCTGGTTATGACAGGAGGCAGCTTCTTTGCTTGTGATCATCTTGGGAAGGCTTACAGTCATACCATCTTAATTCTAGACTCAAACTCAGTAAAACCCATTTAGCAGGCTGGTATAATTTAAGGTGGCCTTGGCCACTAGTTATGAAGGTCCTTATATGCGAATGCAACTGAACCAGCTATGTCACTTTAATGATGATTATACAGTGATAACATTAACTGTTCTGCTCTGCTGCCTCTGACATGCAGTGGATATGAGGAATGAGTAACTGCAGTTGCCAATTTGGGTGGAAGGGACACGTTGGAAAAAATCAAAATGTGAAACCAAATACCTGAGGTGAACAGGTATTCCTTTTGTACTTCCTTTGTGAAGTCAATATGTGACATTGGGCACATAAAATAATTAGGCAGGTCCAAATGGACAGTGAGCTGCTTGAAGCACAAAACACTTTTAGAGGATATGTGTTTCACTTAAAACATAATAAATTGCTGGTCACAGGTAGTTTGCCCATCTGTGAAGAGTCAACTGTCATCATACTTTTGGAAGCCCCTCTATGTATGACAACTATAGCAAGGCACCTTGACCTAATCTTTCTGTAGTGATGGGTGTATACTGGGATGTTTGGTTTGGCGGATGAAATCAAATAAATTAGAAAAAAAAATATTAGATTCAAGTTAAATCAAAACAAAATTCTTTCTAAAAAATGACAAAAACACCTAATTTTCATTTTGGTCAGCCCAAACATTTTCTTCAACCAACATTTTTTTTTTTTTAATTTAGGTCAACTTTAAGTAAATAGGCTATTTTGAAACAAGAAAGTGAAATAAATTTGAATTTCTGAAACTAAAATTTGTTTCAAAATGAAAGGTTCTGACATTTAACAAAATATTTTTCATTTTTCCATCTAAAACTATTTGCTGAATTTGGCCCAATTTCACAAAGAGTTTAGGTCCATTCATTTTTTTAGTGACTACTATATGTAGAAAAAACTTTTGCCTGGCAATTCATATGTGGGTCTAGCTGACTGGCTGAAGACTGGCTAAGTGCAAGAGTATGGACTAACTAGACTTTCTCATAATCATAGTCACAAGATGCAGAATCACAGCAGGAGGAAGATGAGGCTATAAAGATAGTATCCCAGTCTGTCAGTGCCTAGAGGTTGGTAGAAATGTAAGATATCTGTAAGCTTCTGGTTCTCAGAATGGGAGCCGTGAACTTGGTCATTCCTAAAGCTCTTCTTTGCATTTCACACAAGAAAGGGGTAGTGAGTTAGAAGAGAGGTTGGTCCCTCAAAAGAGTGTCCTTTTACAATGTGGCTCACAAAATGTGAAAGCTGGAGAACCACTGCAAAAGGATTTTGTTCTTAAGTTACTTTGAATTTGCTGGTACAGGAAAAAAAAATTGTGTTTTGGTGTCAGATTTTCAGACAGATTCTGACACATTTATGCAGGTTAATATCATGTGCACACTTGCATAATCCCAGTGAAATCATGGTACTGCTCAATGCAAGTTAAGACTGGTGAGCAGCTGCTAAGCGACACCTAACACAACATGTAGAGGGCACATTGGCACTGAGGAATTAGGGTAACACAGGGAAACCACACGAACAGGTAAAAATAGGACACAATGCATTTAAAACACCTTTTATGAGTATGTAAAATATAGATGAAAAGAAATTTGCTTTAGATTCTTCTGCCCTAATACACCAAAGGCAATATCGCGCGTGTGCGTGCATGTGTGTATGTGTTAAATCTACAAAAAAGAGAGATGACGTTACTAAGTGCAAGAGAAATAGCTTAGAAGTACCTCAGCCACATAACTAATGGCATCCTTCAGGTTGAGTTCATGGAAAACATTAAGAATCCGGTCTCTTGATTTCTGTGCCGATCTTCTCATCAGTACTTTACTGAGAATTTTCCTATCAAAATTGGTCCACCTAACGATTTAAAACAAACTGTTTTAACAATGGCAATCAATCACAATTACAGCATTTTCCCTTTAGCATGAGCAGCCATTCCTGGACACTAAGCATTTTGTGCACCTTACTAAATATAGCAAAGCGTGTTCTTGAAAAAACCTTGTGTAGAAGTTACAGGGGTTTAGGTTGTAGCTGTGTTGGTCTAAGGACAGAGGCAGACAAGGTTCCTTGGGTGAATTTGATATCTTTTATTAGACCAACCCAAATAGTTGGAGAATAGTTATTAAGCAAGCTTTCAGGTTCAAAAACCCTTCGTCAGGCTAAGGAAGTTTCAGCAGTTGGTGTGTGCTCTTCCTGGATGGAATGAAAAGTAAAGAAGCCAGGGGCTGGGCTGGAGAGTCAGTTGCCAGGCAGATTATAATGTATCAAAAATCCAATGTCTATGTTTAGTCCATAATCTCTAGTATCCAGGAGGTTGATGAAATAGAGCTCATAGGCTCGTCTCTGGGAAGTGTTGTGTAAGTTTCCCTTGAGGATCAGGACTGAGAGATTGGAGAGAGAGTGGCCCTCCTGTGAGAAATGTGCCCCCACCGGTAATTGGGTATTTCTGTCTTTGATAGATTTCCGGTGTGTGTTCATTCTGGTGCGCAGTTGTTGTTTGGTGGAAAATATGTAGGAGAGACCAAACTGTGTTCCCAATACTGGCACCAGAGAGGCTACAATTGTGTTCCAGTTCAAATGTGCAAAGGTTTTCCTCCTAAATAGATTTAACAGGAATAGATCCCTTGCTCTAAATGATGAGATTTGAAAACTTCATTCAAAGCCTTAGTTGTGGCACTGACTGAAAAGGTTCCAGTGGTAGGAACTGAAAATGCACTACTGTCGTGGTCCATAAATTGATGTTTTCAATTTATAATCCTTTAACCAGGGTATTGATCATGTCCCAGCCCTTCACATGGATAACCTCAAAAACTTAAAAATCACTAGCTCACAGGCAGGATTTCCTTGCAATAGAAAGTACCAAAGAAGAGTCCATAAATTCCTCTTGAAAAGAACCACTGAATCAGAAAGATGTAATAATATTTAGACTGTGAATTGTCCCTACACTATTTCTCACATTGGTGAATTCACTGGAAATGACTAGTTTCATTTTCTCAAGCTGAGTGAAATACAAAGAAGTAAGCAAACATGGACAATGAGAAGTAAATCATTTTAAAAAAATCCTTCCTATTGTATATTCTGCATTGTTACCTGCTTCACAAGTAATACCAGGGTTTGCAAGGACAAAATGTTTAGTCCTAATCTGGGCTGGAGGGGGCAGTTCCACCACTGCATGGTGTATTGTCTCCATTCTCTTACTAATGGCATGATATATAAACAGCCCTTCCATTTTTTGGCATGCTTGGCAGGCCAGATGAAATCTCTCTGTGGCCTAATTCAAAACAAGGGCAATAGGTTGCTGAAACCTGATCCAAGGGCCTATCTGCAGAAATTCACCAGTTGGAGAGACCAGTGCCACCCAAGCTGTCTTCAGCATTAATGTATTTCACAAATATCCATTTTCCTTGCCATTTGGTAGAGGCATACTATCAGTACTTTAAATAACATTCCCATTTCCTTAACTATTCCAATTCAGGAAAATAAGGGCAGTTAGCATTACTTACTTGTCTCGCAAGTAATTATGTCCTATTTGTCCTGATATGTCTTCAATAGCAGAAAGAATATGATCAAAAGCCTAGGAAAATAAGGATAGTATTAATGTCACATGGAGTGCATGGAGTTTAAAGTAAAGTGCTGCTTTTGTTTTTGTTTTTTACGTATCTAAGCAGCTCGCTGATTATTCCTGTTTTATACAAGTTTAAGTAAAAGGAGGAAAACTCTGATTTTAACTTTCATTTTTATTCCTCTTGTATCATATCTCACTTTTGCATCTCTTTCCCCCCCCCACACTTTCGAAGTGCATGAGCCATTGTTACTCCCTCTTTTAAACCAGTTGGTAGTTTCACATTCTGTGTCCTTTTAGTTCCTTGTCCATTCTCTTGGAGAACAGACATTTCCCTCAGCAGAGAAGGAATAGCAATCTTTATTATTAGCTCTGCCTAATAATCAATACCTGGGGCCAAGTTTTGTCCTCAGTGGCTATGTCTACATGAGCAGAGGACAGTGCAGTTGTTACTGTGCAGTCATTTAGGACTTGCTAAGTGTATGCAAGTCCTAAATGACTGTGCAGTAACCAGCATTGCTGTAGGGTTGCTGGGCACTAACTGTGATATGACGCTACTGAGCAGTAACTCATTGCTACTGCGCAGTAGTGTCAGAAAAAAAACATGTGGCAATGGTTACTGTGAATTAACACTGGTTACTGTGTAGTCATTTAATACTTGCATATGCACTGGATACTTATGCGAGTACTAAATGACTGTGCAGTAACCAATGTTAGTGCGTAGTACTGTTGCCACGCAGTTTTTTCCCCCCCCGACACTACTGCGCAGTAGCAATGAGCTACTGCTCAGTAGCTTGTTACTACTGCACAATAGCGTCATGTCACAGTTAGTGCCTGGCAATGCTACTGCAAGGTAGCAATGAGCTACTGTGCAGTAGCACGGGAAAAAAACTACACGGCGATGGTACTGCACAGTAATGCTGGTTACTGTGCAGTCATTTACTAACAACTGTGTAGTACTCTACTCATGTAGATGCAGCCACTGAGGACAAAACTTGGCCCCAGGTATTGAGTATTAGGCAGAGTTAAAATAAAGATGGCTGTTCCTTTTCTGCTGAGGGAAATGTCTACTCTCCAGAAGAATGGACAAAGAGCTAAAAGGACAGAGTGTGAAACTACTAACTGGTTTAGAAGAGGCAGTAACAATGGTTTATGCACTTATAAAAGAAAAAAAAGGAATAACTGGGCATGTCTAGATGAGACACTACTGTGCAGTAGCTTGTTGCTACCATACAGTAGCATTGCCAGACACTAACCATGACATGCTGTTACTATGCAGTAGTAACAAACTATTGAGCAGTAGCTCATTGTGCAGTAACACCAATTACTTTTCAGTCATTTCATACTTGCTTATGAAAGAACTAAATAACTGTGCAGTAACAACTGCGCAGTCCGCTGCTTGTACAGTTGTAGCCACTGACAAGGGTATAACTCAATTTTATTTACGTGGAATTACTCTGACCCCAGATTTAGGTCAATGAGATTGAGAGCAGAATTTGGCATTTTGTTTGCATAGTTTCTAAAAAACTTTATCCTGAATATCTGACTGTTCTTAGGGGACCTACTAATCAACAGATTTTGAATAAGGCATTGGGTGACTGTTGCACTTGATTAGCCTTATTACTGAATAGAATATATCTACAATGCTAAATGTGACTTCAGCAAATATATAACACAGCCACAGATGTTCAGCGAAAGGTGATACAAGGAAGATACCTATCTAATACTGGCCAGGAGTATGCATCCTTTCAAGGGTGGCACAGGGCTGCACCTCCTACAAGCTCCTGGAGGCAGTGAACAGCCCTGAGACACAATGTCTACTGGGACTCTTGTTGTAGTGGTGCAGTGTTACCCTGGACCCAACGAAGGAATCTGGTTAATGGCATCACTTCACCCCTAGCTTGTTACTTGCACAAAGGCACCTGACAAAAATGTGACTAGATAGCATTTTAATTGATGGAAAAAAGAATAAAATATGAATGTATATTTACAGGTGGTTTGCATGTTTTTGCTTTTTCGTGGGCATTCATGAAGATTTCCTTTCATTTCTCTTCAAAACAAATGCCATCTCAACAGACCAACAAGAGTAAGCATAAACATCTTAGCTGTTTGGTAATGTTCAAATTGGAGTCCTCTGACTCACTCAGGAGCAGGACTGAACAATTTTGCAAGTTGCAAGTTCATTGCTCAGCCTATTATGTCTTTACATAAATAGCCAATGGTAAAATAATTTTTGTTTTTTTACTTTACCCTGTGAGCCTAAAGTCAAGATGCCATTACTAATTTGTCCAAAGGAAGAATAAATAGTATCTCCACTGTTTCAGAGGTTGGGTAGGTTGTCTTCCACAGTGCTTTCTGTTTCTGATGATCCATCTGTGATGTACAATGAACTTAAAAGACAAAAAGGCCAACCCAACCATCATTTCTAAAACTGGCTGAAATTACAGCCAATTATTTCAACTATTCAGTTATCTGACTGCAGGATGTGCCCATAACCTGCAGGTGACTTAAAAAAAGAGAGAAATGTTTTAACAACTGAGGAAAAAACCCCTCACATAATCAACAAACTGAGAAAAAAGCCTGTGGTGTATATTGTGCATGTAAATGTACATTTCATATATCTTTCCTTAACCAAACAATTTGATTTGCAAGCACTTTGGGCCCGATTAACTCAGCAATGTTTCAATTCAGTAAAAGTTTCCAATCAAAGAAGGAAAGGTTCTTGATAACCTGTTTAGAAATGTTGTTCTATTTTTCCCCACCACTGTTAATTGTTTCTATTGTAAACCACAAACCCTGGGGATAGTGCATTTAAAACCTTACCCTGCCATGGAGCTTCTCATTCAGTTTGGGGTCCCTGTGTTCACTTTTCTTCACTTTCAGCCACTGGACCAAAGGCTTGATGGTCAAACCCTAGACAATGAGACATTACAATAAACATTTTAACAATCACTTTAGAAACCTGATTGACACCTATTCTAAGCTGTAGGAAAATAACAAATTGTCCAGTGTTCAAAAACCAAGACTCTAAGAACACTGTAATTTTTTTTTGAGATACCTGCTCAGATGGTGTGTAGCATAGCCACAAGTAGAGTCAATGGTGATTTCTTCAGCTGGAAATTGTAATTTTATTTAGAAGCTAAATAACATCATACTCTATCAAAAGTCTGAACTCATATAAGTGACATGAGGGACACTCCAGTATGAGTATGCTTAGCGACATTTTGGGCCTGCTGAGGTCAAAGGCAAAACTCCTATTTACTGCTGGAGGGCTGGGATATCACTTCCCTTCCCCTCCTCCCTGCTCTGTCTATACAGCACTTCACTGTTTAGAAGCTAAACCTTGTGCTTAAGATGATGTTTGGTAAAGCATTTTAATATTTAAAAATGTAGTAAACAAGAAATGACTGCTCCCCTCTACTTATTCAGTGGACGTGAAAGATGTCATCAACTTGAACTCTATTAATACACTTCATTCAAGGCAGAACATTTTTTAGAACAGAGCAAATTGTGTTTTGTCCCATGTGGAGCCATGTGAAAGCATAAAGTGGGATCCTTGTTACTAAAATTATAAAGCCAATTATGCTTCTGGCTCACTGAAACTATATAAGCCACAGTTGAGAGCTGCTTTCAATTTAGTGCTACCACGATGCCTTTTGGGGGTCTCCTCTTTTTCGGAAAGAAACCAGATCAAGTAACTATATTACCTGGAATATAACAGTGAAGAACACAACGATGATAGTTGTGCTGACAAACAGGTTTTTCGCTTTCATTTTGTTCTTATCCAGAAGTGCAACCAGGGCAAAAGCAACAGCTCCACGTAATCCACCATACGACATCACTACCTGATCTATTATTCCCAGCTGGACCATTCTGTAATGGTTTAGAATCCACGTCTGTATAACGACCCCTATAAACAAAAATGTCAAAGTCTCATCCACATGTCGCAAAAAATAGTCTGATCGTCTCTTACAAGCAAAATCCCTTTCTACATTTATGATTCTCTTCTTATAATTACCTTGCAGCCCTTGTGACCTTCTCCTTCACTTCTAATCAAAGGAAATAGATTCAGCTTGCCCTGGCAGCCAGAAATCCTGCACTATCTAAGGGCCAGCTATGGGAGTCATATAGGAGTTGTATGAGGGGTGCTAGCCTCTAGCGTGGGCCCACTGGATACATTCTGATTCATTTGAGGTCAATGGCAAAACTCCCATTAGCCATGATTTCACCAGAACACTCCACTATGATTGGTGGTAGGGGTCCCAGTCCAGGGGACCCTTGGCAACACAATGCGCTACACAATGCACAAGTGGAGGAAGAAGAGATGAATTTCTAGTATCTTCTGAAGAAGCTATACCACTGATTTCTTTGACCATACACTAGTGGCATTATGCCAACACTCCATCTACACCGTGGGTCTGTGGAGAGGCTCCCTCAGCAGGAGATCAAGAAAGTGGGAAACATCATGTTGCTTCCAGATGAGTAACTGCAGGCACCCCCATAAAGGGATGCTGTGCATGCTATGGGTAGCAATTAGCAAGCGTCCTCCTTTCTGGGTCACCTCTAGCTGGAAGCAGTCTTTTTTGTTCCAACAAACAGCTATGATCACCATCTGCTAGTAAGACAGATCTTTGTAAATATATTCAGATCACTGCTGTGAATCCTGCAGGAGAACATGAGCTGTAATTAGTTAAGGCAGCAACACCAGGCCTCCAGTAATTTTAGTCAACCTTGTAGTTTAATTGCTTTAATTTCCACTCTTGTTGTCATTGCTGATTTTGGTAATCACATTTATAAAAAAAATGGTCAGCACTGAGATGCTCCCTTCTTTTTATACAGCAACTCTAGTGATGGTATTAGTTTTCTCATTTTACCTCAAAATGATAAAAGACCAAAGTTTAAAAAGTCTATTAAAATGGCATAAGTAGACATAGTTAAGTGGAAAACAGCAAAAACCTAGGCAGAATACCCTACAAATGAACAGACATAGGGAGGGTCCCCCCACAAAAAAGAATGAGTGCCTGTGCTACTGTAGACATCCAGTGTGCAACAAAGTAACTGGGATTATATCATTGTATTGGCACTATAAAGATTAATTAGTTTCAAATAATAGTTATTTGGAATTTTTATTTAAGAGTATTCCTATAGTGTAGCTATTAGTAAGTCTATGTTGTTTAATTACTGTTTTGTTAAGTGTTGTGATATTGCAAAAAAGACAGCTGTGTAATATGATCAGGTAACTCTTGGGTAAAAAATGCACGTGTGTTTTGTTGTACACATGCAGAAACTGTAAAGAAATTACACCAAGCTTATTTTGTGCAGGTCAGTGGTTCTTGATCTTTTTAGAATCAAAGCACTCTTCCACAATGTTTCAAATTTGGCGGTGCCCCAGTTGAGAACCACCATTGTGCTGCCTCATTGGTTCTCAGTTGGGGTGCCTCTGGTGTCAACTAAAAGACATTCACTCTTTGTTTTCACCAATCATTGGAAATTATCTCCATGTTATGACAGTGAATCTGAGCTGAAATTGTATATAGCTCTTATGTCACCATGCTCCAAATACGAAGCGTACCTAAAAAAATAAATTAGCTTAATCCAAGCTCTTAATTATTGAACCGAAAGAGATGGCTGAGTAAAGACATGATTAATATAATGTGCAAGGTTTTTTTTTTAGGTTGCAAATTCTAACAAAAATCCCCATTTATCTAACACATCAATGCTGTACATTACAGCAGGAAAATTCAGGGAACTAGTCCTTGGACTAATCAGGTGTGCCACCACACATCCTATTAAAAACTATCATCATTTCAGTGACTGATGAGGCCTAATCCATTCTTTTTCTAAGGAAGAGTCATAACTTTAACCCAAAATAATGAAAGTTACATATGTGCAAGCCTCCAAGATCCTCTATGGCATGAAAGTATGCTGTTGCAACAACACTCCAAATTTTAATATATGGCTACAGCAGGAAAATTGTTTACCTTACCAATGACTCTGAATATTGAGATGAAGACCAATGTTAAGAGTATAAAAGCTGTGTTCCAGGTCCAGATATCAGGATTTACAGCTGAAATTCCCAGGAACATGAAGATAATAGTCTCAGCTCCACTAGCCATCATTTTCATGGTATATCTCACAGTGGTAGAAGACTGCTCAGAAATATTAGCTTTGACATATTTTTGACAGCAGATGCCACAGAAAGTTATCCTGAAAAGAAACCCATTATTTCTTGAGTTATCCTGAAAAGAAATCCATCATCTGTTGAATAACACTTGTTGTATCGTATTTCCCTTTGCCATCCAAGCTGTCAAATTGTGACAAAAAATTAAACTGTAAGTTTAAGAATTCTCAGAAACGAAGGCAAAGAGGAATACAAAACTCTAAAATTCTGGGTTCAGAGGTGATACCTTCTATTAGGTCAACTAAAAATAGCAAAAAAATATATATATTTTTTTGTAAGATTTTGGGCGCGCACACCCTTCTTTCGGCTGAAGAAAGGCTTGAGTGCCCGAAAGCTTACAAAGGCAATGTTTTTGCTATTTTTCAGTTGGTTTAATAAAAGGTATCACCTCTGAACCAAGAATATTAGTTTTGTACTCCTCTTTGTCTCAGACCTACACGGCTACAAATCAGACTCCTAAACTTAAGGCAGACACTCCAGTGAACACTGTCAAGTTAGGTTTAGGCAGAATGTGTACCACAAACAAGCACCACCTAAAAATCTGTAGATAACAACATTTAATTAGCCCATAAAAGCACTCCTGCTTCTTCTGCCATTTGGGTTTCCATACTATTTCACAGCCAATACTTTAAAGCATGTGTTTACTTAGATATAAATCTAAGCTAATAATTTGTTTGCAGTGGGTTTTCCCAATCTTGAAGATACTTGCTGCAGAACTGCTTTTGATGATGAAAGCATGTAAAACACTAGAGGCTAATAACATCTGAAAGTGGGTAAGCAAAATTGAGATTAAAGGTATGTTCCAACTCAACGTACAGCAGTGGGTAAAGATTGTACTGGGACTCCACACAGAACAGGAAAGCTTACCCTGTTTATCCTGATAGCAAGTTTTGGTTGATTGACTTGGCTACATGGCAAAAGTTTAAAAGAATAATATACAATTTGGATATTCAAAAATTTTAGAGGACAGGCCAGAACAACAGAAAGTGACATTCCCTTGAATCTGGCTGTTTAGTCATCACAAATTGACTGGAAAAAGGGCAGCTGGAATGAGTACTAATGCCATTAGAGCAGTGGTTCTCAACCTTTTTTGTACCAGTACCCTTTTGTAAACATTGATGGTCAGTTCTGACCCAATAAACAGTTTAAATAGAAAACAGGCTCCTGGCCCTGATGGTGCCCCTCACTCCTGACCCACTGCCCCCTGCCTTCCCCCGCCACCACTGTGTGGGGCAAGCGGAGCCCTTGGCAACCCCTTGCAGTCTGAACTCTGCCAGCCTGCAAGGCATAGTTTTCCATGTTGTTCTCCTTTAAAGGAGAATCCATTTTTAAAGGTTGCTGCCACTTTTTTATATATTCTTGTGACCTACTTTTGGGTTACAACTCATGGGTTGAGAAACACTGCATTAGAAGACCAATAAATGAGTTTCTATTCTACCAAAGCAGCCTTCCTACTAAAGAGTAGACACTGGAAACATCAAACTCCTTTTCAGGACTGACTAGAAGAGGTGTTTGGGATTCACAATCCATTAGTGGCTTATAACTGTAACTGAAAAATAAGCTTTGTTAGTCTGGCATTCTGTAGTCTTCTTGTCTGGTTTAACTCTTCCCTGTCATTTATGTTAAAAAACTATGCTCCCTCTCCAGTGCTGCCAAGGGGAAAAAACTGATAAAATGAAGGACTTACGCAAGGATGGCAGAAAGAGAAAGCATCTCTGCTGTGAGGTAAGACAGATATGAGATGATAAACACAAATCCGGGTTCAATAATTCTAACGTGTTTGGTAAAACGAGTGACCAGGGACAGCAGGAACGCAAAAGCAACGCCAACGAGTGTCCCACCCAGGCTTACCACAAAGAAAGACACTGAAACAAGAACAAATACAAATTAACAAAGATAGTATCGCAGGATTAATTGGCTCAATTGTTACTAATTTTCCTATCAAATGGCTGAGATAAAGAAAAATTTGGAAGATAGCCTAAGAATCCCAACTTCCAAAAATATAATCCAAAGAATGCCACAAATTTACCATTTTTTAGTACGTTAACATTTGCAAAGTTCCAAGGAAAACACAAGTTAATTCTTGTGAAATTACCCCAAATCCTTAAGTATTCCCCAAGCAAGTTTTCTCCATTGTTCCATAAATGCAAATGCTTCCCCAACCACAGAAAAATAATATACACAGATCACCATTAACGAAGTGGTTCCTGAAACAGTACAGCATTCTCTTAAGCTTGTAATGGGGAAGATCAGTATCGACACTGCTTAATAACCCTTAACAAATGCTGGGTATCTGATGGTAATCACATATAAGCTAGCCCTTGTACTACAGTTCTATGGCAAAAGAAACACTACTTCTGCAGGAAGACAGCAGGTTACAACTATTGTGCTGAAATGATTCTGAAACAGTAGACCTCGTGTGGCAGGATTATGATCACATACATAACTGTCAAGTCATCTGGTCTTAACCTCCTAAATCAGTTACTGCTTTGGGCTAGGCGCAGACATTCAAAAAGCCTGAGCCTGAATTGATTCAATCTTTGCAGGTTAGTCTAACCTGGTTAGGCTGAATCAGTTTGTAGCTGTACAGACATCCCATAAATGCAGGCACATGTCTGTAGTGGCTCAGGTGAGAAGCCAGGGGGCACCAGAGCAGCCTTTCCTTTCCTTCCACAGTGTTAAGCTGAAGGGGGTGTGGAGAGGCCCCAGCAGGATGCTCTGATTAGGGAGGTGTTCCCCCACTTCTGACCAGCCCAGCAGGGAATTGATAGCACAGTGTTTATCACCCCTAACACAGTGTTTATCACCCCATTAAGAATACAACAATGGGACATTACCAGCTACCTGTTGATTCTGCCACAGCACGTAGCCAGCACATGATCTGCTAGCTAATGCTGAGAGGTGTCTGTGTAAGGCAGAGGGGATGGGGGAATCCCTGCTTAGCAGGAAGTGGGGAGGGGAGGGGAGTGGCGGGGAGCAGGGGAAAGCCAGGTAGATGCCTGCAGTCTCAGCCAAGCTCCAGCCAGGGAGGGGGGCGGGGCAGCTCTGTTGTGGAACAGAGAGCTCCACCCATCCCAGAGAGAATGCTGGGATGTTGGGGGTATCTGGTTTATCTTAAACCAGCAAGGGGTCTGGGACAGACTTTGCATAAACCAGTTTGACCCAAATCAATTAAGTCTGATACTATATTCAACCAGGTTTATCTCAAATGGTTTTCAGCCATTTTCAAACTGGTTTATGTGCACTGAACATCTGTCTGTTACAGATTTAAACCATTTTCTGACTACTTAAACTGGTTTATTTGTAATGTCTGTCCCTAGCCCTGGAGCTCAGAAGCCAGGTCCAATACCCAACAGCTTCTATAGAGATTAAAATTCCTCTCTCAGAATTCTCAAATGTCCAGGACATGCAAATATGGGTTCATTCTGTGCGCCACCAAAATCTGAGGGTATAGATGGAAGGGGAAAAGTAACAGCAAAAGACCATCATGTGATACAGTTGTAAGTATTTAATCTTTTAAAGTCTACACATGTTTTATCAGTGGTGTAACACAGAGTTAACTTTACTCACCTATGCCTTTTACACAGTCCACCCCAGTCACATTTTCTGCTCCTATTGCAACAAAGGACTCAAAGACATTGTAGAGAACCTAAAAGGAAAAAAGTGACTTCACTTAGTATATATTTTTGAATTAAAACCAGTTAAAATTATCCCAAATATGGGCCTGGCATTAGATAACTTGATTTTTTGTTGAACTGTAACAGTTGGAAAAAAAAAAATCACATAGTGAATTAATAATAGGTCAAAACATGGCAAATATGAAATCTAGAAAATATGATAGTTATGCCTATGGCTAGTGGTTAAGTTTGCGTATCTAAGGGTTTTCTAGACTGTCAATCACCGTGGCATCACCCGATATCTTATCTCCTGCTTGTCAGACAATTTCTAAAAAGAGGCATAGATAGTGAAGGAGGATCTAGAAAAAGTAGAACAAAATATTCTGCTGCTTCCTGGATTATAATTCTCATTCAAAAATATCCTTTTAAAACCAACATAGAGACTTCAGTGAGGGCTTTTAACAGGTTCACATTTACAGAAACTTTCAACATTTTTTGCTGACAGATTTTTTGCACAAAAAATTCTTAATCAAAATAATAGGAAGGTTCTACACTTTCCAAACTTTTTTTTGGATGAAAAACCAGAAATAACAAGTTCTTGGTAAAAATATCTTGGCTTTTAGGAAGCTTTAACAGGATTTGCAAACTTTTAGAAATTGGGTTTATCATTGAAAAATAAATGATGAAAAATGTCTTTAAAAATTCATAGCAGAATTTACCATCATACTTCCCCTTCAGACCCATGACCATACTCACACTGGCACTTTTCAGGTAGCTCACCTATACATCTAAATTGTCAGGCACCCCACTGGCATAAACTTTACCAAGTAAAGAAAAAGCAGGCATTGATATTAAATGTCTCTGGACAGAAGCAAGAATGTACAGAGCATTTCCCAGTATCAAACATCATGGAGGTAGCACATCTGTTCAATACAGTCCCGATTCAGGAAAACATTCCTGTTTGGGAGAGCATTTAGACATATATTCAACTCACAATAGACATGATGACTAGAAAAGTATTTGTATCAGAAGCATTATTTTAAATATTCATCCAATCAGAGAAAAAAATGCACCAAATAACTTATATTCAACTATTTTATGCTCACAGTACATTTTTGCAAATAAGGCACAGACCCAGGACACTCTAGTAAAACTTCTGGGCAGTACCTGACTCAGAAAACATGAAAAGATACACTGACCACATTTACATGAGATTTTGACTGGGCAGTTGTTACTGTGCAGTCATTTAGTACTTGCATACACACATACTAAATGACTACACAGTAACCAGAGTTACTGCACAGTAGCATCCCCGAATGGCTTCTTGGTGATGCTGACTGAGCAGTAGCTTGTTACTACTGCACAGCAGTAACAAGCTACTGTGCAGCAGTAATGAGCTACTGCTCAGTCAGCGTTGCATATAGAAAAGACCACTATGTACTATTTTATGCCATAAGGAATGCATTATTTCAGTAAAAACCTTTAAGAATTGTGCACAAATCCTCTTACCACAGTCACAGCATCATTTAGCAGCGATTCTCCAAAAACAATGATGAACAGAACTTCATTGACATGGACTTCCTCAAACACAGCCAAAACCGCAACTGGATCCACTGCTGCAATCAGACTGCCAAACAGGAGAAAGTCCAGTAGCCCAATGTTAAGGTCGCCTACAAAAACAAAGAAACCTATTTACAAGGGGAGTCTACACATGCATTTACTCTGGCCTAGATTTACTCTGGTGTAAACTAATTCGGAGTAAATGTTCTTGGGTAGGCATCTACAAATGTGAGGATTAGGGAGCATATTTGCACCAAGTTTCCTATAGTCCTGCAATAGGCCTCTGCTGACACTGGGGGGAGCTCCAGGCTCCCCGGGGTGCTAGTCCGGGGGTTGGCAGAGAGCACTGTGTCAGGAGACAACTGTCACACAGCCATGGCCGGGGGGGAGGGGGGCTGCCTGCTGCTGGGGCAGGGACAATGTCCCCTTGCCCCAGTAGCAGGGAGCTCCTGGCCCTGGTTCCCTGATCAGGGGCAGAGGACTTGGAAAGAGCTGCAGGGGAGGGGCAGGTCCCAGCCCCCTACCCCGATTTGCCAGTAGAGCAGCTAGCAGCCAGCTCTACCAGACAGTAGTCCCTAGTGCTATCAGGAAAAAAACCCCATAATTTTAGCTTCAGATTTTACTAGGTTAGAATCAATATTTCACTTTTTAGAATAGGCAAAGGACAACACGGTATTCAGACTGTAGTGGAAATCAACACTGAAATAATTTGATCATCAAATCAATGCCTCAGTATAGCATTTCTTTAGACAAAATGTAGGCTGAAGCAAAGAAGTGAATTCTATGTAATTTGCTATGCAGCAAGTGGATCTCTGGGAAAAAAATAAACATTAGACTTTGGAAATTTTGACTATTATATGGAGATTTCTGATAATACTTTACTGCAGTAACCAATGCAATAAGGGGCCACTGATGAGATATTATAAAAATAGATTTAGTAGTACACATAGAAAGGCTTGTGAGTTTTTAAGTTTTCACAGACCGCAAAATTCTGACATCAGGATTACCAATCCCCAGTGTCAAAAATCATGATATTGGCTTAAAAATTATTAGGCCATAATGAAAGTTTCTTATCTCAAAGTTGATCTGACAAGATATACACTTCAACTGAACTGCTTGTTTTTAAACCCTACATACTACCTCAGACACTTGGTAGAAGTATAAATTTGTCCCAGTCATGGGATAATCTCGCTTTTCCATAATGTTTCCAGGAAATGGAATCACGATTGGGTATTGTAGAAATTCTTGATTGGTGGGGGGTATTTTGTTTGTTTTTTTTACAGCAGTCCATGGAGTCAGCTCCTTGCCCCTGCCAGACTCTTATCTCCCAGCATGAGTCCCAGGGTCTCCCTGCCTGAGCCCAACTGCAGAGCTCAGGCTGGACGATAAGGGTCTACCAGCCCAAGCCCCGTGACCATGGAGCTCAGGCTGGGAGATAAGGATCTCCTAGCACCAGCCCTGTAGGTGCGGAGCCGGCACTGGGAAGTAAGGGTCTCCCAGCCCCCCACTCCCCAACTGCAATGGCAAAATGGAGGCTGGGAGATAAGGATCTCCCAGCCCCCACTCCCTGTTTGTGATCTCGGAGTGGGGGGCTTGGAGCTCCCTGCTGCTTGGGCAGGGGGACATAGTCACCACCTGGGCTCCTGTGGCAGAGCCCACCCCAGCAGCAGGCAGCTCCTGGGGGCAGGGAGCAATCTCCCATCCCTTGATGGATGGCTGATCAGGAGCAGATTTTGGTCCTAGTTAGATGTCTACATGAGCACTACGGTGCTATTAGTAATCTCATGTAAATTTGCTATTTCCATTTGCAGGTAGCAAAATTACTCGGGATTAGGGAGATTTACTGTGAAGTAAGCATGTGCATGTGTAGACACACATGCTTATTTCTCACTAAACTATGCTAATGTGAAGCTAAGGGTCTTCTGTAGACATGCCCACAGAGATGTGAAAAAGGCAAAAGCAATTTCCTCATAGTTCTGAGATAAGGCCCATATTATTACTTTCTTCACACTCAAGCCCAAATTTGTCTCTTAATAATATGGAATCAGCCCCCACTTAAATCAGTAAGAGCTGCATCTATAGAAAGCAGAAACTTTGTCCTTTATCCACTTTTTTTAATTGGGGAAAACTTCTACTGAAACTGAGCAAACTGAACAGAGTAAGCTACCCACAATAAAACTCTTGTAAGGATCAAATTAACTCAGCAATTAATTTCAATTCTTTGAGTGCTGTTCTCAGCTGTTAACTTTCCTTAGTTCTATAAAAGCAAGACAGAGGAACAGCAAGACACAAACATGCTTCCCCTTTAGAAGGAAGAAAGATGTGAGAAGTCACAAAGACGCATGCTGTAGCGCCTCCCAGCGCTTAGCCTGGGCCACTGCAGGCATGTGACTGCATTTCTAGAATCAAAATTGAATTGTCTGTTCACTTGCTTATTGGTTCAACTTATGCAGCTTAGACTAACCTGCAAAGATTGAAATGATTCAGCCTTGGACTTCTTGACTGTTTGTATTTAGCCCTTGGGTTTGGAAGGCAAATGAAAGCAGAACTAAGTTAAGAATCCTTTTGTTCCAAAATGCTTGAAGCTGTATGGTCAGACAGAGAACTCAAAAACTGGAAACTGGGGACAGGACCCCACAGATACTACATACTTCTATTAGGCAGGAGTAAGCACCACATCTTCAACCTGCCAGAAGGACTCAGGGAAAGGCCTTGAAAACAGGTACTCCTGGTTTTTAAGACCACATAGCTTTTATAAATCATTCATTTTCATTCCTACTCGTGCGAGTATATGTTAGGGACACAGCTAGTTAATTTTTGAGGAATGAGAGACTTTGGTTAGTGGAATCAGATGAAGACCTGGCAAATTTCTGAGGTTATTCCTGTACCTGACTGAGAAAGTTTCCATAGAATTCTTCCCCCCCTTTTTTAGCTCAGTGACAATAACTATTGATATCAAGGCACCTTTGGGTATGCACATCTAAAATAAATTGACTCTCTGTGATCTCTTATCTTTTTTATATGTTACCAATTGTGATCACTGCTACATTCTTTAAGAAGTTGCGACAGCTAGTTAGCAAATATTTATGAAAAGGTCAAGACACCTCTTTAACTACTATAGAACAGTGTCAAGGGAGGTGGGATTGCTAAACCTGAAATTATCCAACCTCCCATCTAGGCCCAATGATCCAATATGTATAAGCCAAGATGCTAGTGTTAACCTTGTCTCTTATTGGTAAGCTTCAGAACAAGTGTCCACTGCCAGTCCAGCTCCACTGGGAATAGGAGCAGGGGGGAGTCCTACTTTTAAAAGTCAGGTAGAAGCAGGCAGTGTGATTTTAGTTTGGATTGTTTGTGCCACTTATGGGTACATTGAGCACAGGCACATATTTAAGTTGTAATTCTTCCTAATGAACTTTAAAGGTAGTATTTCCTTCTTATTTTCCCTTTTTCTTGACTTATCTTCTTTAGTTTTAAATGCCTTATAAGGATGAACCTTAAGCATGAGCCTTGAGCATAATATTTAACAAGGATTTTCTCTCATGTGTATTGGAATCTATGGCTGCTTACAGATGTGAACCCCCTTCCCTGGCACTTTACTTTCAGCTTGGTGTGCCCTCATGCCGAGCGCAGCGCATGTCCAGAACAGGCATTATGTTAGTTTGACCCAGCTTGCCCAACATCTGTATAGCTCATGTGTTTCAGCAGGGCTTTTGGCACTTATCTAATAACTGACTGAATCAGCTTTAGATAAAAGCGCCAAATAGCCCTGCTGAAGCGCCCGATCTATACAGATGCTGGGGAGCTGGGTCAAACTAATGTACTTCCTTTTCCGGTAAAGTGCTGTTTTGTTTTTTCATGTCTCTCAGCATTGACTATTATCTAATTTAGCTGACCTGTTCTTAAGACTTGGGATTGGATTAGAGCAGCGTTTCCTAAACTTTTGATACCTGGGGCACACTTCTTATCTGTATTCAATCTGGCAGAACTTTTCCATTCGAAAAAGTGTGTGTGTGTATGGTATATCTATATCTATATCACTATATGGATATATATAGATATAGATGTGTTATATATGTTTTGGAATATATAGGAATGTGTTATATATTTTGAAATATATATCTACATGCATTTCAAAACATATAGTACAATCCATTCCCCTGCCAGAAAAAAAATCATATTACTACTGAGATTTACTGTTTAAAAAGTGACACTGAATATATTTTTCTTTAAGCAAAGGATTAATTTCTATACTAGTGCTTCTCAACCTTTTAAGCCTCAAGCCACCCCTCCATAACTTTTCAGAATTTCATGGCACCCCAGCTGAAAATCAGATACAGATCTAAATTCAGAATATATATTTTATTATTTTATATTTATATTAAATATTTATATTATTTTATATATATTATATGGAAGAGGGTCTTCAGGTTAAAAAAGCTGAGAATCACTGACCTGGTCGGTGACACTTAAGGGCATGGTGGGGACAGGACCTCAACCTCCTGCACCTGCTCTTTCCATCTCTCCTCTCCTGACCCCTGGTCTGTACCTTAGGGAGCGAGGGCAAACCCCGTTGATGCTGCTGCTCCTGCAGGGTCTCACATGCTAGTGACCACCCCTGCAGCCCCTTCTGCTGGCCCTGGGGACATAGAAGGAATGAGCTGGTTTGAAAAGTGTGGAGCTCTGTCAGTGCATCCACCCTCTTGCAGCAGAGCATGCTATTGTGTGTGCGTGTGTGCGTGCGTGTGTGTGTGTATAAGAGGAAGCGGGGGGAGGCAGCACAGGGACTGCCTGTGGGCAGGGAGGGTGGGGGAAGGCAAAAACGTCAGTGACAGCCCCCAGAGAAGCAGTTGCAGGTGCTGCTGAAGCAGCTGGGGCAAGCAAAGGGGGCTGGAGAGAGGAGGAAATCATTTACTTCCTTACACAAGGGGATCTTGCAGCACACTTCCATTGCTCTCATGACACACTAGTGTGCTGCAACACTTTCAGAGTATCAGTGGGGTAATGTCCACCTATTACAAATTTTATCTACCACTGGAACTAGGAAATGATAAGAGATTATCTGATTTCTGTTATTACTTTTATAACAACTAAGGCTACATACACATTCATACTTTTAGCAATATTCATTTAATCTTTTCTTGCCTGAATAATAACAATTGATGTAACAAGAAAAATACCCTCAAGGCCATAGACAGATGATATATTTGAAGCAGTTGGGTGGACAGAAGTGCACACCCCCTGTGATGCTGTAAAAATGGAGCAAGTGCTATAAAAAGGGAAGCACTACAAAAATGACCCTCATTGAACCAGGAACTTCTCTGTAGTTCTGCATTTTGTAGCAATGTTTAACTTCTGTACAGTTACATGTAGCACCATAGGGAGTGTCTTGGTCCCTCTGGCGCTTTGTTCTCTCCCTCCCCTTTTAAGTGGAGTAGCGGGAGAGAGAGAAGGGTTGAGAGTCACTGAAGGCTGCCTGGATGCCAGTGATCCGTGACACCTCGCTGTCAAAGGAAGGGGAAGCAGAGTTGCAGGGCTGAGCAAGCATCCCATTGCCATGTGGCTGGAAAGCATGTCCCAGAATGCCTTCATGATGAGTTTGCAGTGTTCCAGCCAGGGGAGGCTCTGCAAATCTGTTCACACCTGGCAGTGCTACATTTTTGAAGTGCTTAAAAGTGCTATGGCACTTGTAGCAATAAATGAACAGCTGCCCACAGCCTTTAGCAGAGGCTTTCATGAAAGACTGCCCAGTCCTTCAGCTAGTTCCTAGTAAGATTCCAGTAGCTCCCTTCCCAGCAACTGGAATGAGACAGCTTACCTTCTCATTGGCTGAATCTACACGAGATGCTGACTGAACAGTTGTTACTGTGCAGTCATTTAGTACTTGTATAAACAAGTATTAAATGACTTTGCAGTAACTGGAGTTACTGCCATGTGATGCTACTGAGTGGGAGTAACAAGCTACTGCGCAGTCAGCATCTTGTGTAGATGGGGCTATTATGCATAATACCTAGGGCTCTCTGCAATTTTAAGTATCAGTCTGTGGCTATGAGATGTAATCCTCAAGTGAAGAGATATGACATAAAATTTTCAAGCCCTGCTTAGCTCTGTTTGCAAGTGACATAGTTTGAATCAGGGATGAACTTTTCTGGCCTTCTCCATAATTGAAATTAGAACTGAAAAAGCTTTAGTAAGTTATAAAACATGCCTCCTGCCAGTGAAGCCTGGTCCCTACAGTATAAGATGTATAATCTCATTTGAAATGTTTCAAGCACTCAGGACCATCAGATGACTGTGATGCAGATACTGCTGCTAGCTGGGTGGAGTATCAAAGACATTCTGTAGAAAGAGATGAATCTCACACCGAAACAAAGATCTTTAGAACAGGGTTTGGTAACCCATGGTACAGCAGGTCAGCACTGGGGAGGAGGAGCAGGCTACACCATTAGCAGTAGTCAGTCTTCAGACATAGTTTCATTAAAGCAGCCGCCACTTCTAAAAGGTTGTTGATGCCACTAAATGCCATTCCTTCAATCAATGGTAGAACCCCCATTGCTATCACAGATAGGTCTGCACCAAGATCAAGCAGAAAATATCACCTTTATAATGAACTAAACTTTTTATTATTACTACACCTGGTTGAACCTTTTTACTCTGAGGGAGGGTTGCAAGGGGAAGGAAAATGACCTTTTATCTAAATCAACATTTTGTGAAAAAATAAGAAGTACAATCTTAAAAAGTTAATGCAAAATTCTAAAATGTAATTACAAATTTATATAAAAAATATTTGTCAAGAAGGGTCATTTACCAAATCATTTCAAAGTCATTTTAAAAAACAATCCATGGTTAAAAAGGTTTTTTTTTTTAATTGCTCTGTTATGAACTCTTCAAAACAAAAACAAAATTTATCAGTTCTAGCTATTAATAGGGTTGTTTTTTTTTAATTTTGTTGGCATCTCATTCTCTTATTTAGCATCGCTACATGGTGCAATAATCTGACCATTAATACCATAACTATTTCTGCCCATTTTTATTTCTTTCATCATTTTCCTTCTTCTGTATTTTCTTCTTTTACTGTCTTTGTACGTCTTCTATTCTTTCCTCCAAAAGCAGTTCCCCTTTCCCATTCTGGACTTCAGTCCCAACCTCTTCGCTATTCCATCTGCTACAATGATTGGTAATTAAATAATGAATGACAGCAGTCAGACTGGAGAAGCATTGTATCCACAATGGTCCAGGAAATGTAGAAGACTAAAGATTTTTTTGTAATATCTTTTATTAGACTAGCTGTATAGTTGGGAGATCTGTTGGACAAGCTTTTGGTTATCAAATTCCTCTTCCTCAGGTCACCATAACCTTGTTCAACAGCTCTCCCTACTATACAGTTGGTCCAATAGAAGATTTTGCCTAGTTAATGACGACATTTTAAAGAATCATGGTTAGTCTTTACATGTATCAGCACCTCACTGAGTTTAGTGGGACTGATAGGTCATTCACTATGAATCACCTGACTGAATCATTCTTTCAGGCCATCTACAAACTCACAAAAACAATACTATTTGGTTATACTCTGTTCAAAGTGTGAAGGTATTCTGCACAAGCATACTAGAAGCTTTCTATTCTTAAAGGAAGAAAAAGAAAACAAAGGTCTTGTTACGCAGTTCTGGTGGCAAAGCTTCGTGGTCACACACTGTTGATAATACAGCTCTGCTGGCAAAACCCCTGGTGTGGCTTTCTGAGACAGAACCTGTATATCCAGCCACACAAAAGGTCCTTCCTCCAGCTGAGCAACATTCACACCAGTGGCCCTGGCCTGCCACGGTAGTTAAAGCAGCAGCAGGATCCCCTGCAGTGGCAACACAGTCTAAATTTAGACTCTTTGGAAACCTGCATATTTGTCATACAGGACACATCAGTACGTTGGATTAGTAACATTACATGGAACTGGACAACACTGCTTGAGGCTTGTCTTCCAACTGGAGAGCAGTGCTCCCACAAACACTCAGTGCTCATGTCACGTTGTACAGGTAAAAAGTAATTCAATACACTGTCTAGCACACTAAAGGCACATATCTGTAAGAGCAAAAATAAAAGAATTTTGTTGTAGTAGTTGCATAGTTCTACTATAATATCACCATAATGCCTCCTGTAAACAAGAGCATTAAACCCTAGTACAAACACCCAGAACAATACCGTGAAATTGAGAAACGAGCCTACCAACATGGCTGCCCAGCTTTACTGAAACCATATGCCAGTGTAAAACTGCACCAATTTTAATCCAGGTTTGTGATAAATACATGCAACCAGATCCTCAAAGGAAACAGATTCCCTCCTCCTAACCTTGCTTTGCAAGGAACATCTTTTTCTCATAGGTTGTTGTTGCCAGTGGAATAGCTTTTTCATTTTTCTTTTATGTAGTTCAGACAATGAAAGATTTTTTTTCTTGTATTCATTTGACCTCTACTTGTTGGCTCTTTACAAAAATCAAGATATTAAGTTAATAACCTAAACATTGTCTTTATACAGGCTTAGAGACAGCAAAAGTGCCTCCCTGCCCAAATTAAATAATCAGAACTAGAAGAAACCTGTTCTTAAATAAGGACTTTCTTGCTGCAGAAAACTATAGTACATCCTCCATGCTTTGTACCTTTAGCTGGAATTGTTGTGCAACTGTATAATTGTATAACTGTGCACAATAATTTTTAGCTGCTATGTTGCCATAGCAACACGCTATAATGAGTGTGTTGCTACAGCAACATAGCTGCAGCATCATGGTTTGTGACCCCCGATGCTATGTCGCCATAGTGCATTGCTACAGCAATGTAGCATCACGTGTAGATGCTCCCATTGTTCCTTTTTAAGCTTCACTTACTATACTACTGCGTTTTTACTCTTAGGCTTGAATCAGTATAGTAACTTGTAACTGTTGCTACTGTATGTTGTTCTCTTAAGCTTAATTTGATACAATACTGAATCTTTACTCTTAAGTTTGATATAGCAAGTTGTAACTGCTGGCATTGTATACCAAACTGATCTCTTAAGTTTTACTGTATTTAATATCTCTTACTGTTGGCATGGTTTTACACATTGCATCATGTTTTAGCACGTGGAATTCACAAGAGACAGCATCTTCACTTATCTGAAGGAATTCAACTATCCAAATGTATTCATTCCAAAAGGGATACAGAAAACTGAGGATGTACCATATCAGTTAGCAACCAGTGAATGTATCTACATGTGCACTTTACTGTGGAGTTGACTAATTACCTCTGCAGCAAAGCAACACCATCTACATGTGCACCTGTATTATGGCACAGTAAATTAATTAACTCCGTTGTAGGATAGTAGTGTCCAGGACAAGTATTATCCTACAGCGGAGTAGTTCCATGCACTGCAATGCACATGTAGACAGTGACTCCACATCACGTTAAGCAGCAGCAGAGCAGCTCCAGGCTGACAGGATGACCCCTTGGGCTCCCTGCCAATCCAGGGCTGCTTCACCCCAGCTCAGCATGCTGAGGTCCTGAATACACATGTAAAAGTTGTGCCTGGGGAAAATAAATTCTGGAACAAACTATGCTGGAGTTTATTAATACATGCTAATTGCATGTGTAGATGCACCCAGTATATAGCATCTTATATTTCAGGCTGGACATAAGGAAGAACTTCTTTACTGTCCGAGCCTGCAAAGTTTGGAATAGACTGCCGCCGGAGGTGGTTCAAGCACCTACTTTGAATGCCTTCAAGACACTTTTGGATGTTTATCTTGCTGGGATCCTATGATCTCTGCTGACTTCCTGCCCCTGGGGCAGGTGGCTGGATTCGATGATCTTCCAAGGTCCCTTCTAGCCCTAGTGTCTATGAATCTATGAATTTGCTACCTGATAGAGTAGGCTCTGACCAAACTTAAAAGCTTTGAAAGGTTAGAATTCATAATTTGCCTTACTTAAAAAAAAAAAAAATCAAATCTATTTGGGTATAATGTAAAAAAATAAACAAAGAAACACTCAAGTTCTACTTCTGAATTCAACTGTAGGTACACAACTGGGAATACTATCAGTTGTATCTATAACATGAAAGAAAATCTAAACATCTGGCTACCCAAATTATGGCAATCCTCCATTAGGCCTCTCAGTTTCCATTAAAACTAAAGGAAAACTAACCTTTTGAAAATTTCCACAGAAACAGATGTCCATTAATAGATCAAGCCGTGAGTTTTTCCAGTTCAGGGAGATGCATCAGTAAGAGGTTAGAGAGAGGTGTGTTCAGGGCATGGGACTAGGGTGTGGGAAGCCGAGGGTCAAATCCCTACTCTATCTGATTCTGGGCAGAGTTCTCTGCTTGCTCTGAAACTTCATAAAACATTCAAACAGCCATAGTTATACTTCTATGAGAAACACCTGTTACCTGTGATACAGCTCTATTGTGCTAGGCAGTACCCAGTTTAATTAGCAGTTTCTTGCTTAAAAAGTGTACTTACCCATGATTCCAGTCAGGTGGACACCATAGAGAGACAAGCCTGTTGTGGCAGCATTCCAGACAGTTCCAATGACAGCATACAAAAGGATGGTGCCAAGGTTTCCAAAAAATAACCTGTTTGGCATGAAGTAGCCAGCATCGAGGACAATGGGTGGCAGCAGATAGAAGAAAAACACATTTGGTGTCAAGGTGAAGGAGGCAATGTGGTCTGCTGCCCATACAATCCCACCCAGGAAGAGGCCGAGGACAATTAGCAGAGCGCTCTCAGGAACCACATGAGTGACTTTGTGGGATAAATGGAAAACTGCAAGGAAAGAAAAAAAAAAAATCAGGAAATAAAGGTGCAAAAATGATTTAACTAAGAGGATAGCTCACCCCCATGGGAGTTCTGCCACTGTGGGCTGAGTTAAATCTTCAGGACTTGTCTCTATAGCAGGGGCAGGCAATGATTTTGGGCAGAGGGCCACTTACTGAGTTTTGGCAAGCCATCGAGGGCCGCATGACAGGCAGCCAGGGGCAGCTAAATATTAATTTTCTAAATTTTTAGGGGCCCCACAGGCCAGATAGAATGGCTTGGCAGGCCGCATTTTGTCCACCCCTACTCTATAGTATCAAAGTCAATCACATAATTATATTGCCCCCAAAGCATAATAGGTACATAGCTGACACTTAGAACTAGAGGACTTACACAGCTTATAGTCATATACTAAATTTAAATATGTGATAAGTGAATACAGTTGTGTTTTAAATCAACTTTATTAGGTTCACTTATATAGTAATGAAGCAGACAAGGTCTATGACTTGAGTATAGACTGAGATAATGGATGCCTGTAGATGTGCTGTGGAGCTGCTCTGATGTGCTGTAATTGCAGCATGTCAGAGCAGACTCAATTAATCGAGTTTACTGGAGTGTGGTAATTACACCAGCCTCCGTGTCTTGTGTATTACCATCCCCGCGTTTCAAAACAGTGGCCAGGGCACTGGAACTAAAGCTCGTTGAACTAAAGCTTTAGTTCCAGTGTCCCCACAGCCATTTTGAAACGTGGGGACACTAACTAATACATGAAGCATTGTGGTGCTTTAATTAGAGTGGCTCTTGGAGCTGCTCTAATTAAGGCGCCTCCTGCTCACAGCACATGTAAAAGTGTCCACATATCCTGATTCCCTTTGCTTCCTTGAAGTACTTTCTGGTTGCCTGCTGACATGAGCGGTGGTGATGATGAATGTGTGTATGCACGTAGCGATTTCTCTGACAGCTAGCTGTTCCTTTTAGTAAGATGATCTGAATGTTTGGATTGTTTTGTTTTTAACATTTGTATGAAACTCATTTTGCTAGAATTAGGCAAGAAGATATCATTGACAAGGGAAACAGTTTCTTGCGTTTATTCCTAGACCTTAAGGGAGAGCAAAAACAGAGAAATTATTCCATAAAAACAGCATTCTTGGTGGGGTGTGGTATGTATGCTACATATCTTCATGAACAGGTGCTACCAACTGAACCACAAAATAAACTGATGGAATTCAAGAAAATCTACCCACAGCTATGTTGTTGACACGTTTTCCTTATTGATGCATTTCCCGCGATACGTCACAAAAATGCTCTACAAGTATTTAGTGCAAAACTAGCCATCACAGAAATATTTTAGTTGCAGATGTATATCTATGTTACATCAATCATTATAAATATTAATGTACCTATACACCATTTAATTTTTTTAAAAGAGTGGCTTAATAAGAGTGCAGAGGCAGTGCAAAAAACTAATTAATTTTAAAATGGGGCTCGATAAGCTTCTGTACAATGTACTCATATTTAGTGGATAAGCACATAATTCACTTAACTGCATAACATAACACCAGTACCTATTTTTTTGTAACAAACTCCAGTTATCTGCAAATTGGTTAAGTGCATGATTGGCTTAAGTGTATAGGAAACCTTTAGCCTCACTATCTGCTTGGTAACCTAATTATGCTCTGGTATGGAGACATTCACACAAGCAAAGCTTGGGCTGGTCTTGTACTTAGTAGGCACATCTATATGTGCCTAATAATGCACATGAATAAACTGCAGAGCCTAGTGCTCTGGAGTTTATTGCTCCCAAACACGTTGTTTACATGTGCACCCTGGGATTGTAGTAAGGAGCCTGGAGTGTCAGCCTGCCAGCCTGGGGCGGGTTCCCCCAGCTCAAAATGCTATGGAAGGTCTGGCTGCGGCAAGAGGGTGATTTAGAGGAGGGGCAGCCCCTGCAATGAAGCACTCTCATGCCTCAGCCAGCCGGGGCATTGTCTATACATGCACCATTTCAGAGTAAAAAACTCTACAGCAGGATAGTACTTGCAAGTCCTATCCTGCTGTGGAGTTAATTAGTATACTCCAGACTAATAGGGGCACTCATATAGACCTGCAATGTTTACTGCAAAGATAATTAGTCTACTGTGGAGTAAATGTTGTATGTAGACGCACCTAATGGGCACATCTACACTTGGCCGTACGGCGCCATTGTTACTGCACCATCATTTAGTACTTCCTTTTCAAAGTATTAAATGACAGCGCAGTAACAGTCCGTACTTCACTGTGCCAGCTGTTGCATAGTTATTTTTAGCTGCTATGTCACCGAAGCAGCACACTATAACGCGCGAGCGTGTTGCTACAGCGATGTAGCTGCAGCATCACAGTTTTTAGTGAGTATTATTTAAACTGAGTTCAGGTAAGTGCATATGCCCGGTAAAACTTTTTTCAGCTCGGAGGCTATGCACTTTTATGGAATATACCCTAATTGAATGATGTGTCTGCCTATGATAGTGAGGAGCTAGAGTCAAACTTCAGGAAGTTCCTTCCAGATCTGTGTCCTATAAATTTTCCTTGAAGGATTGCAGTTTACTGAGTGAACTTGTACCCATTCACTGGGAACTTTGACCTGAATGGTAACAGTAGCTTTATCCATTCTTCCATTAGTGAAGTTTGGCAGATATTAATAATAATTCTCTGAAGTTAAACTTTCTTTTATACTGATTTTATCCAAAAAATGGTATCCCAGGCTGTTTTGACAAGTCCAATAATTTAAGGAGATGGACAGTGTTTGGCATAAGTCATAGGGGAAAAAACTGACCAGAGGGAAGGAGAAACTTAAAAAGTTCAGGATAAAATCTGGAAGAGAAAAAGGTGAGAAGGCAGAGAAAAGGCCACTTAGGTTGTTTTGAATGGTAGGAGCACAAACAATAGCCGGATTGTGAGGAAAGAAAAGATAGAGAGAAGATGGGTGTCAAATAAGGAAAGAGAGAGGTGGTTAGCCATATTAGTCTGAAATCAGGCAGAAGGCAGGGTGCAGATGCACTTTAGAGACTAACTAAATCAGAGATGCAAAAGCTTTTATGAGCTGGAGCTCACTTAATCAGATCTTGATGAAGATATGGAAAGCACACGGAAGAGAGCAGAATGAGAGCAAGTCTCTGAGGTATAATAAACAGGGAGGCAAGACAGGAGTTTGGCAAAGGAGACCTGCTGAATGGATCTCAGCAATTTCACATGGTAGCAGCTTGAATGAACCTTTCTGGTGATCTGGATCTCCATCATTTCTTTCAGGGCCCTGACTACATATGAGCCTGACCCATTTTGTAAAAACTTGAACTCACTGAAAAGCTGAATTTCCCTGCACCCTGAAGTTCAGTCACAAAACCATTGAGCTTAATGGTTTTAATAAAGCAATTTGCTCAAAACTGAGCCCAACTTTGCTTAAAACTTGTTCAAACAACAAATGGTCAGGACACCAAATTTTAATATTTATCTGAAAAATCATCATCCATCAGCATGCTGGGATATAAGGCCAAAGCACACTAAATAAATACCATAGCTATTTCTTATAACATGCTGTGCTTTCCCTAGAAGCTTTTTTAAAAACTGCTGATCCTGGTCAAATGTTTATTAAACTAGTTATTAGTTACAGACTGTTTAACATTTAAAGAAACTGAGTCTTCTCTTTCCTCAATTCCACTTCAAGGTTTATCTATGCCTTAGAAACTTTTACCTTGGTACTTTTAAGAAAATTTCCAATCCATATTACTAGTATAGGATAGCCAGTGGCATTTTTTCCCCATTGAGTTGCCTAAGACATACCAAAGCAAGCAATAACAACAGCAATCTGCCCAGGCCAATGTTACCACTAAACTTCACACTGCTATAAATGCACCCTTACTAGAGTACTAATGGATACCATGCAATTTCCAGTGAAAGCCATATTACCAGAATAGACCATGTTACTACATCAGTCCACTCCAGCCACTATGAATGAGACAAAACCAGGTTACAACTGGATTAAGGAAAAGGAAGCAAACTACATTGCATAAATATGTCCTATAAACATTTTTAAACACAGTCAAGTTTCTAAAGCATCAGGGTCATCAATTTAACAGATAGGCAGCACCATCTACAACACAAGTGTAAAAAAATTCAAAGTCAAATGTCTTCTGCTTCTAACAGCTCATTGGACTAATATTATTTAGGCACATCAGTTTCTGTAGCTGATGGATACAGGAGTGATGTGGCTAACATCACATTTGGCCATGTTCGATTCCCCTGCCTGAATGACCAGGTGACCATTTAGAGCTGGGTGGACTGGGCGCAGCTGTTGACATGAATTTAAGAGTGAGGCTTCAAACATATGTCTTTTAAAGGAACTCTTCCATCACTATGAAACCTCTTGCTCAACTGAATGGAAAAGTAAGAAAACTATTGCTGGGTGCTACAAGAACCAGCTTCTCTTTTTTTTTTCCTGTAGTACTCCAGAGATTATCTGGCATTCTGAGCAGCCATTATTTTGTGTTTACAGGCAAAGAAGCAAGGGTGTTTTTGGCAATATATTTTATTGGACCAACTGAATAGTTGGAAGAGATGCTAGATGGGCATTCAGGTGTAAACTGCCCTTCCTCAGATCTAAGATACTAAGAAGTAGAAACAGCCTAAATTAGATCCCAGATGAAACAATTCCTTTTCAAGCATTCCAATTTTCAAAGGTTTTTTTCTGGTAGTCATTCTCTCCATTCCTTACCTCTCTAGTCAGTAAATTATCAACTGATTTATCACCTTCCAGAAAAGGGATTGCTGCTTTATCCCTCAGAATGAATTTTGCTGAGCTAGGCTTCTTTAGGTGTTTTCTTTGTTGCTGTTTGCAGAGAGAGATATGGGTGAAAAAAGCCCCAAGATAAAAGTGTGAAACAAGGATTCTCAAGACATAAAAAAAGACAATATTATGAAGTAGATACTTGAATTTATGCAAAAAAGTCACTATTCCATTGAACCGGAACACTGAA